ATGAAAAACGACGATAAAAATTGGATCATAATTACAATAAAACTTTTATTTAGTCGTATTTGTAGAGCTCGAATTACAAATTATAATTTTATCCATGAGTCTTTCCAAGTTAAATAATAAATTTTTATATAATAATATTAATAAGCACAGGCCGTGGGAGATAATACCCCATAACCTGCCTAATCAAAAGCCAAATTAAAAAGTGATTGAATTATTCCCAACAGACAGTTAAGAGCATGGGAGGAGATCTAAGATTAGTGATTTATCGAAGAATAACATAGCTCCAAAAAATAAAGCCAACCCCCCCTAATTAATATTAAGCTGTAAAAAAGTTGGCGATCGAGAATCGCCAACAAGACAGTGAGAATTATTATAACCATGTAACTGAAACATATTTGTGGTAAGAAATTAAGAATAAACAGATAAAAATAGATTTTTGTTTTCGATTAGTTTTTTGTTTGTTTGTTTTTGTTTTTTGTTTTTTTGTCGAATGCCTGTGGGTGCGATTGTTCCTGTTTTTCAGTGGCGTCATCTATGGCAAGGAATTCGACTTCTGCCACGCCATTCACACAACCACAACCAGCTTATAGGGCGGGTCACGTTCACACACAAAGGAGAAAGAATATAGATCAGAGAGAGAGAGAAAGAAGCATCCATGCCTTGCCCGGGATTCGAACCCAGGACAATTCTGATGCAAGGACAATTCCCTGCCCCCTACATTGGCCGGTCGGCTTTCGATTAGGAGCGACAATGAATTAATGAGTCGACATTATATGATCTAATGAGTTTTTTGAAATAAAAAGTGAGCAGTTACATTGATCAATAAAAAATAATAAAAAATTTTATGTTCGCTTTTTATAAATTTTAATAAAAATTAACTATATGATTTAATTTAATCATAAAGTAGATTGGCCATTGATTGTACGTTCATTAAATTGGTTTCAAAAAAATACGCAATTTTTTTTTTCTTCTGAAAAATAAATTCAGAATATATATTTTTATCTAAAAAAATTTAAGGACCTCTTCATTTAGCTAAAGATAGCATCATTTTTAAAGTTTGCAAAAAAAAGCGTTCGCAATGTGGATGAGCAGTACAGAGAAACCAATGAGAAATCCTTCTCGAAATTAATTGAAACTTAGTGATGTGTTCACAAAAATAAAAGTAGACAGTTGAATTTTTTTTTCTTGATAGTTGGAGCTTTAGAAATACATTTTGAAACATGTGTTGAGAAGTGATAAGAAAAGAATAGTGTATTAATTTTTTACCGGATTATTAGTTTATTGGCTTGTCAAATAACTTCCATACAATGCTCAAATAAAACTTCTCTTTCTTTCATTTTTAAATCGATGTAAAAGCAAAGATTAATAAAAAAAAACATATCCCACAAATATGACTATTGATTTTTCGTGCAATGCTAAGAGGAGTTTTCATTATTTATTTTTTTTTAAATTTGAAATTATCGTTTTCAAATTTACTTTCTAATCTATCTAATTGCAATGAAAAATTTAGAAGTCGGTGAGAAATTCAATTCAAATAGACTTTAAGATAGTTGAAAGGTTTATAAATATTTAATTATTTGAGTCGAGTGGATTTTCATTATTTATTTCTTTATTTTTTTCTAAATTTGAAATTATCGTTTTCAAATTTACTTTACAAATCAAAACTCTTCTAAAAACCATTTGAAGCAGTTTTTTTCTTTAAAAAATGTAACTACTAATAGTAAAAAAAAAAAAATTAACCCGAATTTTCCACTTTTGATCGGAATTTTTTACTTTTAAAGCAATAAAGTGCTACATTTTAATATCCGAGGTTTATAAATATCTAATTATTTGAGTCGCGTGGATTTTGTTTGATGACCAAAATGTGGTAAAATACTCGTACATCATAAAAATTTCCTACAATGTATAAAATAAGCAAGAAATTAAAATTTATCGCTTAAAATTTATCACTTTTAAACCAAAAAAGTTATAAATTTTATTAGTTTTAAATCATTAAAGTAATAAGTTTTACAGCAATAAAGTAATAAATTTTAATTGTTCATTGTTAATTGGAATGTTTAATAACAATGAAAAATTCAGAAGACAGTAAGAGAAATTCAATTAAAATAGTAACTAAGCTTGAAATTAAAGTTTAAAAGCAATAAAATGATAAATTTTATCACTTTTAAAGCAATGATTAAAAATAATTAGAAAATTAAGCTTTATTGATTGAATTTTGTTTTTAATTTTTTATCACATTAGTGAGTTTATAAATTACACATGCTTTCTTATAAACTATACATTTCTTTGTAATTGAATGTTAGTGCTGAGAAACTGAATATAAGTTATTACATTTGGAGTTATAAGTGTTTTTATCATTTCGTAGAATTTGAAGTATTGCAGCACACTTTTTTACATTTTAAGACCAGTTTGCACAGTAAAATACGTTTTTGACAGTAAATAGTTCTATCTAAAAGCAGTTTAATCCATTTTAGGCAAGGCATCGAAAATAGCAGAATACAAATTTTGAGCGAAATCGGCCGATTAGTTCTAAAGAAATCGAATTTTAAAAATACTTTTTCTTAAAAATTCGTAAAGGGTTCCAAATTTTAGATTGCTCTCCTGATCAAACTATTGAGACCATATTTTCCAGATTGCGGTTTCCATCTATATTTTGGGAGTCAGAAATCAGAGGGGGGCCCTGATTCAACAATAGAGCACAGAGACATTTAAGAAAGGAAATTTTCGCAATGGTTTAGCTGAAACAATTGTATTAAATTAAACTGAAGATGATTTCTGTTTTTTCAAACATTTTAATTAGAACATCAGTGACGTTTGTTAGCTTATAACTCTAACGAACTGAATGATCAACGTAGTAGCATACCTGAACTGCATTACCAAATTATTAAATTTTTCTAATTTGATTTGATTTGTTCATTTTACGTAGCACTAGAGCTGCACAATGGGCTATTGGCGACGGTCTGGGAAACATCCCTGAGGATGATCCGAAGACATGCCATCACAATTTTGATCCTCAGCAGAGGGGATGGCACCCCCGCTTCGGTAGCCCGACGACCTGCACGCGAAGTCGAGCACTTTACGGTAGAACAGTTTAACGAGGACCAATACCGCACACCCTCGGTCCCTACGCAGACTGATCCAAGTGGTCACCCACCCGCACACTGACCGCAGCCAGTGATGCTTGACTTCGATGATCTGCTGGGAACCGTGTCTTAACGATCAGTCCACTGCGGGACTACATTTTTTTAAAGTTACCTGAAGCCGTGTGTTTATTTTGTTTGAAATTCTGCTTTTAAAAAGCGTTTCTACAAAACTAAATAATTTTAAATAAACGATAACTGAAATATAAAAAAAAAATAGTTTCGTAGTGAAAAGCAAAATTAATAGGAAAATGGTGCTAATTCGTTTAAGAGAAACGAAGAGTGAAGTGACGTAGAGTGAGTATCTCGATCCTGATTGGTTGTTGATACGCGGCATTTGTTTACGTTAGCAACTGTTCTTTCCATTCTATTTCGAGTAAGCTAAGCCCGTCAAATATCAATTCCTTTAAATGACACGACACTCTATGCTAGTTCACAGAGATTTCAATTCTTTCACTATATATTTCTTACTTAGCACAAAAACAGATACTAAGCCTTGTGGAACATAAACAAAGTAATTAAGCATGGAAGTTGCCAGATACACAAAACAAAAATACATCACGGTTGCAGTAAAATACATTAACAAATAATAAATTTAGGTTGAGTAAAAGAAGTAGATGAGAAAGAATTCTATTTCAACAAATTCGATGTGCGATACGGTTGTATTTAATTAACTTATCTTTAATTAATATTCTAACTTATGTAGAGAAACTCTATGTAACTCTAATGTGCCATGTTGCTGATAAAGATTAGCTGACGTCATTGGTCACATGTGTGGGTATCAGTGATCTTCTTCTTATTGAAGTGCAAGTACCCAATTGGTGCAGTTTCAATAGGTACCAAATATGCACTTATGAAGGTATGAAGCATTTAATGAGCAAATTTGATACCGATTACAGCTGCACTAATACTGTACATTTTTATGATAGATACCGAGGCTCTTCATGACACCTCGAAGATATATGTACAGAAGAAAGTAACATTTGATTGTAGTAAGTTTTAAATATCATGATCAACAGCCTTATGCCGATGATTCTGAATACAGTTAATGTTTATTTTGATGGGATGAACTGCTAAATACATGTTTTACAAAATCTAATATTATTACAATGTATTAAGACATTTAAAATTTTCAGATTGTTTTTTTGTTAAATTAAAAAAAAAATTAGTGAATGCTTTTTAAATTTATATTTACCAGGTTTGTAAAATTTCCAAGCAATTTCTACATATTTTTGTTCGAAATCTTAATAAAAATAAAAAATATACTTCCAAATACTTTTTTTTTTTTTTTTTTTTTTTTTTTTTTTTTTTTNTTTTTTTTTTTTTGCAGACGATCATAAATCAAAAATAGAATTTTATTTTATGCTTTTCAAAATTGTCATATAATACTTTTATCTTATAACTTACGGAAATTCTAAGAAGTATTCTTTGCATTATTGCAATGGATTAAGTCATTAAAAAGTTCAGTTTTCACTTTTGTTTTTTTAAACATGACTATCTTTACCCTAGAACTGCTAGAGTTTTGAAATATATACTTTTCAGAAGTATTTCCGGTGTCTAAATTTGACACGGGCTTTTCTTTGATGGTAATGAAAAACCTTAAAATACCGCGTTTATTCGAGATTATTTACTATCGGCTTTCAATTGCAAACGATAATTTAAATCTTTCTACATAAATTTTTAACAAGCGTAAAAAGATCTACGTTTTTCTGCAGACGATCATAAAGAAATATATTTATGTGCTGTTTTTCTTTTATGCTATCCATGTGGTCAGAATCAGAGCCGGACTACAGGACTGACCTAGTTGAAGATAATGGGTACTTCGTGGATTGTTGATCATATGTGATGATTTTTCGTGAAGGAGGGTGGTAGGGGATGGAGAGCAAAATCAGTTTTCGGAAGTACTTGATGAGAGGCGCGTGTTGTGGTGGAAGGAAAAACTTCATCCATCATCTGTTGGCCAACAAGAAGAAAGAAAAAAGAGAACCAAACATGAAGAAGGGAGTTTACTGCGCATGATCAGTTCTTTCCGGACACAGGCGCATTGAATTTTCAAAATTTTATTCCAACTCTTTCGGATTGGGAATTTCGTCCCGGAGCGAAGTGATCCTATGCTACTCTGAATTTGCTGTTAATTATGTGAGTAATTATTATTAATCCATTTCTCGTTTTTTTAATTGTTGTTCGAATTATAAAATCTATTTGGCAAATTTTGAAAAATTAATTTATATCATCGAGTACTAAAGACTCAAATTAGTAAAAGCATTCGTAAATCATTTTAAAGTTGTAATTATAATAATTTTGGTACAATTTTTCATTGCGGAAAAAGTTTTTTTTTTTTCAGATTATTATTTGATTGTTTTGATCATTATTTAAGATAAATTATAATTTAAAGATTTTTTTAAATTATAATTTGTAACCGTCGTAATCGTTTGTGTAGATTGCAAAATCCATTTGACCAATTTTGGGGAAATTAATTTTTCTGATCGAGTACTGAAGGATCAAATTAGTAAAAGCATTCGTAAATTATTTTAAATTTGTAATTATAATAATTTTGGTACAATTTTTCACTGTGGAAAAAGTTTTTTTTAGAATATTATTTGATTGTTTTGGTCATTAATTAAGAATAATTTAAAGATTTTTTAATTATAATTTGTAATTGCTTGTGTAATCGTTTGTGTAGAATATTCTTTTCTAATTTTATACAGTTTCTCAACTTTAACGTTCAAAAATTTTGATTCGGAGATTTTGATACAATTTCAACAACGTATTAAAGACTCGTAGCAAGTTGCAATTGCTTTTCTGACAATACATTTTTGATTCTGTAAGAGAAAAGGAAAAACATAAAGTTTTTATTTGTTTGCTTTTAAACAATTTAAATATTATTTTTACTTAACAAATTTAATAACTTTTACACAAAATGTTTAATAAATATTGGCAAGAAATATTCACTAATACATGCTCAATTTTATAAGCAAAAAAAAAACGTAACGTTTTTTTTACAATACATCAGAAAGAGAATACCAGAACAATTTTAACAATAATCATGTCATTCTTATTCTCATGTAGGGTAAAAAAAAAAATGTAGATTTTTTTAATCATACAACAGACTACATACATACGTCAAAAGTTAAGCTATGGAAGAAGAAAAATATTAAGAATCACTAGAATTAATTAATTTCCTAAGACATCAATCAATTCGAAAATTAATTTAAAAAGACATCAAAGCCCGATTCTGACTAATCTCGGCTAATTTGCTGTGTTAAGTAATTAAGAAAGGTAATGAATATAATTTTAAGCTGGGTATTGAATTGATAGCTTTAAAATTACTAATAATTGTAATTAAAATTACAAAAAATATAACAAAGTAAATAAAATACAAAAAGAAGTCCTTTTTTTCATTAACTGTAATTTAATTTTATATTTTGTCAATTTTAAGATAAAATATATTTAAACTTGGAATACCTTACTCCATGATAAAAAATAAAAACAAATTTTGATTGGGAAAAATAATTTATGCTTCTATGAAATTAAATCACGTGTTAAACCGATTTCTCATTTAATTAATAAATAAATAATAATAAGTTATGTTTTAATTTTTATTTCACTTACTAGAGCTCATATAGTTAGAGACAGCTTTAGTTCTAGAATGTATAAATAATTTTTATTTTCAAAACATTTAATAAGTTTATTTGATATTTTTTATAAACTAAATTTAAATAGTAACGCAATGACTTAGAAAAAAATTGTGCAAATATAATGACAACCAGAAAAAAATTTCAAAGAAGAGAAAAGGAAAAAAGAAGAAAGAAAGAGAGAAAATTTATTTTAGGCATTTCAAATTGACATCATGGCATTTTCGTTAAAATAAAAATTAATTCAACCCCATACAAAATCATTATAAGTTGGTCTTTTCAAAGTATTACCAAAACTATTATTAAGTTTTAATGTTTAATTTTATATGTAAGTCATGGATCTATTATTATTAGTAAAAATTTTAAAATTATGAGAGACTAGGCTTAAATGAATCTTAAAAAATTTATAAAATATTGTTTGAAGAAGTCTTGCATTACAATTAAAATAAAACTAGACTAAACTCAGTGGCACGACAGCCCATAGAGGGTCAAGGCCTACTGTGCCCATCTCAGTTTTCTTGACCTTGAGCTCTGGGGTGCAAAAGCAGATGTTCCGGTTAGCTGGTCAGCCGGACGCGGAACCCCCAGTGTTTAGTTCCCAAGCATGCAAAACCTTGCCCGGCCCGAGTATCGAACCCAGAACCTGTGGCACGTTAGAGCGAAGCGCTACTACTCTGCCCTGCCGGGAGTCATTACTTTTAAACTGCGACATTATCAATAATTTGTGAATTATTAGCTTGGATCACTTAAAGAAACTTTAAACTATCATTAAAAATAAGTGACTTTTCACGAAATTTCTGAACTATATTATTTAAAAAGAAAAGAAGATAATGTTAAGAGAAGTTCAATATTACTAAAAAAGATTAAATTAAATTTATAAATTAATAATTTATTATTTATTAATTAATTATTTTATTAATTAAATATTTTATTAATCTATTATTTTATTAATTAATTAGTTAAAATTCAATATTATTTTAAGAATTTTAAAAAATTAAAATTCAAGTATTCGAGAGAATTTCGAAATCGTTCAAACGCTTTTAGTTTCAAATCAATAAATAGATAAATAATATTTTATTTAACTCTTAATAAATACATTAGTAGAAGTAATTGGTTAAAAGGAAAATATATAGTGTTTTTAACAGAAAAATTGCTAAACATTGGTAAAAAAAATTATCGGTATTTTTTTCTTTCAAAATAATTAATGTTGTTACAAAATTATCAATAACTAAACAATGACTTAGAAGAAAAAGAAATTATGTTTTCGGATAGTTCAAATCAGTAGAAACAGTTTCTGCGTTGGTAATCATAACCACAATGGTTATGAATCAGAAAATCCGCATTTCTTTCAAGTGCATCCTTATAACGAAATAATGGAAGGGCTGTGCGGAATTAATGATTAATTGTACTTCTTGAATGATTAATTATACTTATTTTACCAGAACAACGACTAACATTTTTATTATTTTGCATATGGAAACCTAAAACCATTAAAACAAGTGTTACCCGATTTTGAGAAAAGTTAAAAGGGTTATTTGCATGCAGTCCCTGGCCAAGTTATTAGACGCATTATAAGATTCTATGTAAAATCTTAATTATCAGGTGATACTATACAACTTTATTATTTTTCGCAGCTAAAACCGGTTTTCACTTTTTTACGTTCGTGTATCAATTGGTTAAATTATACGATATATAATATAAATCCGACGATTGGATAAATTGGACGATACATTATATAAATATAGAATATTTATTATATCAGTTATTATATTAGCACTAGGAGGCTCCGCCCCCTGCTCGCTGACGCTCGCCAACCCCCGAGAATTGCTACGCAATCCTATGTGGTTCACGCCGTGAACCATGGCTCGCTGCGCTCGCTCGCCAATGAACACAATGTTCTAGCACAAAGACATAATATATTATCATCAAAGACATAGTATTTTATCATCAAAGACATAGTATTGTACTTATGTAGAAGAATTCTACCAATGTTCTTATTGGCTTTTAAAAAAGTATATTAGCTATTTAGATTGTACATGGTGAAAAAATCAAAACATTAGCTAAATAAGAAACATATTAGCAAAATAAATTATCAAATATTGCTTCACTAATATTCTGCATTTTAAAGCGTGAAAATTCAATGCATAAATAAACGCGAAATATAAAAAAATTCAATGCATTCAATACAAACACTTAAACGTTTTTTAGACGTTTAGGTAGCTCCCAGTAGAAAAATATCAATTCAACAGCGGCCTTTTAAAGCATTCTCACTTCAATTAATTAATTAATTCCTAATTGAGTTTAAATTAAATATTGTCATGTTTTTAGTGCATGAATCTGAATTGAACAACCTGATAATGCTCACTCTGGTTATTGTTATCTGGTTGCTCACTACGTGCTCTTGCGCGCCGAATCCAATCAATTAAAAATGAAAACTGTTGCCAGCGCGAGAAAAGAAATATCATCGGTTTTATTGATACATACATACGTACGTATTAGCGTTTTATATAATAAGATATTATAATAATTAGATCAAATTATTAGACGCACTGTAGTGTTTTAATAATGACATGTTTTGCACGAGTTTATAGGCAATACTTTTATATTTAAACATAAATGTAATGGGTTTTTAATTCAGGAGATTTTTTATATGCTTCCTATTTGTATTTATTTTTAATGTATTGCATTACAATGTTAATCCATTGATACACGAATGCAAACCGATTTCAGCTGCGTAAAAACAATAAAACTGTGTAGATTAGCTGTTAAGATTTTGAATAGAATCTTATAATGCGTCTAATAATTTGGACAGGGACTGTATATACCTTTACATGGCTTACCACACTAACACTATGTCAACTCGTTTACACAGCAAATTACGCTGCGCAAACAGCAATAAATTTAACGACCCCAGCAAAGATCTTCATAATTAATGTACAACAGAAGAAAAAAAAAAGCATCAATAACATAGATATATACTTCATTAATCGTTCTTTCACTAAGAAAAAAAAAAGTCGTTGAATTAATTATTTTTCGCCAGGTGTAGCAAAAACATTGTCACTGGATTGTAAATAAAAATTTGGGGCAAAATGTCCGCAAGAATCAACAAGGGGTGAAGATAATTGCCCCTTCAACACTGAAGGTTGCTTCTAATCGCGTCGTTGCAGGCAGGTTCAAAAATTGATCATAAAATTCCCCGACGCGCATAGTGGGAAAAATCGCCCTCCAGCGAACTTTTATCTTTATCCCTGGCTCGAGGGAAAAACGTCAAGAACTTTTCATCGAAAGGAAAACTTGAGACGCAGACTTTAAAAAGAAAAGAAAAAAGAAAAAAGCTTGAAAACAGATGGTGATAATATTATTAAATATATTTTCAAGGGGAGTTTTTTTTTCCGCCTTTCTTTATTGAAGTAGTCTGTTGTACTGAAACAAAGCAAAACGTTATGAATTTTGATTACGATTTTTTTTTTAAATGTAAAACAAAGTCACAGTTTAAGGCGACTGAATTATTGTGTAATATTTTTTCTTTAAAAAAATGATTAATACAAAAAAAAAGTATCTCGAATTTTCTATTCTCATCATAAAACATAATACAGATAAGAAATTTTTAAAAAAAATTTTTATGTTTAAAATTTATTAACGAAAATTGTAAAAATAGACTAAAATGGGACTTTTATACAAATTCGGAAGCTAAAAATGAGTTTAAAACTCAAAATTTTCCTTTAGTATATGAGGTAAAGGGAAAAAATTGTGTACTTAAAAAAAAAAAAAACTTGATTTTGCAGATCATTTTTTCGTATCCACTTTTAACAGTTCGTATTTTTTTTTTTTTTTTAAAGTATCTAAATTAAAATTGAAAAAAAAAGCTTTTCTTCAACCAACTTTTTAATTTCAAAAACTTTTTTTAATTTGAGAGTAATTTTTTTTCCATTATTTATTACTTTCGAAGGAAATAGTCAACTTAACAAACTGTTCCTTAAAAAAGATAGAATTTCATTTTTACTCTCAAAGACTTAATGCATTCATTCAGTTAAATAATTGTATTTTTCGTAGTTTCACCCTTATTTGGGCGTTTTAAAAGTCTTTAAAATGTAGATGAAACAGAAAAATAAATATTAAACGTCTCTTTGATAAACTTACTCACTTTTTAATCAAACTCGTATTATTTAAACCTTTAATTAAACATTGCATTTATGAATTATAATAATGCTTGAAAAATTTTTTTGACCAACATAATCCAACTTTTGTTAACATTTCTGAATTTTAACACAAACACAGAGACTTTAAAAACTAAATATTTAGTAATAATTTATAAAAAGATAAGGCTCGTAGTTAGTACGTTAATGTTAGTTAGATTACAACTTTTCAATAGTGTAAAAAAAAAACAGACGATAAACAAAACAGACGATAAACAAGACAAAAAAAAAATGTTTTTAACTTTGAATTCCATAGAACAAAAAAAAGAAGAAGAAAACAAAATGGTGTGTATTATGTGAAAGAACTTCGATTCGCAGTTTGTCCCAAAAAGCATTGGAAAGGGGCTGACAAATTCATGTCCCATTTCTCATCGATCGGCTCCCATAAACTGCTAACAAGTTGGGATCGGAAATGAGATAGCGGAAGAGAACATCATAAATTGAATTCCCGCCCAAATGAGAAATGGTAATGTTCTCTTTCAGAAAGTGGCAACGCTATGAGGATAACATCTTATAGCCCAATCAGCTACATTCAAAATCTGTAAATGGGAAATTAAGTGTTGCGTATTTTTTTTTACCAGGAGGAAAAAAATTCGCTTAATTATCTCGCAAACTTTTAGTTTTTTTTAGATATGTGCTTTATAATTTGTATGCAGTAGAAACAATTCTTCAAACCTCTAAACTAAGAATATGCCAGAAAATAATATTTATTCATTTTTTAGCAGTGTACTTTATTATTTATTTGAAATTGAAACAATTCTTCTAACCTTGAAGCTGAGAATATGCCCGCATATAATATTTATTCATATTTTTCACAAAATGGGGATCATTTTTTAACTGTGTACTTTATAATTTGTAGGCAGTCGAAACAATTCTTCGAATATTGAAACTGAGAATATGCCCTCAAATAATATTTATTCATATTTTTTTAGAAAATGGCGAGTGTTTTAATGCTTATTTAGTTTATTATTTTTATAAAATAATTTACTGCAGTGCAAACTTTCAGTTTTTGAGCTATATATACTTTGTTTGCAGTTGAAACAATTCTTATAACCTTGAGGCTGAGAATATGCCCGCAAATAATATTTATTCCATTTTTTAAAAAATGGCGAGTGTTTTAATGCTTATTTAGTTTATTATTTTTTAAAGTAATAAATAAGGAACATAATTTCTTATTACCTAATTTAGACGAATCATGAGTTAGAGTAGAGCTATCCATTAGAACGTCTTGTGGTTTTCTTCTCCATGTAATGTAAATGCGGATTTGTTCTATTCTTTTACAAATTATATTTTTCACGAAATTTGATCAAATTGTTCCCTTGTCTGCTGGGTTGGGCTTAATATTACAATAGGACGTACTGTATTTAAAACAACAAGAGGGTGAGAGAGATAAAAATATGCATGGAATTCCCACCCAAATAAGACTTGATAGTGTTCTTTTTCTAGAATTCGCAACACTATTTGTGTAGCATCGCATAGCTAATTTCATGGCCAACGTTGAGCACCTGATCCACATCGAATTTTCGGTTAATAATTTATAATTTATTACCGTGGTTGTACAGCCGACTCAATTTTGGGTTTACGACTACTTATGTTCAACTCCTTAGCTTCGCAATTTTTAGACCGATCCAGAAAGCAAAGAAACTCCTAGATCAAAAATTGGGAGAAATTAACCCCTTCGTGGAAGACTTTTTGATGGAACTAACCCGCATTTGAGTTACATGAAGGGGGAAACCACTAAAACCTCCCATGATTTGCCTGATGGTAAGGCGCTTTAACCCATGATCCGTCTACCACTGAGGATATTTTTACGTAAGCATGTGGTCGGTGCAAGCCGTACGCGGAGTTCGTATCGACAAATCACAGCTGGGATTCGAATCCGGTTCACCTCATTGGAAGACGAACGCTCTTTTCCTTGAGCAACCACGGCTTTTTTTTAATGTAAAATGAAAAACGCAATTGAGCTTCATCTTGAAATATAGTTTGTCTGCGGTAAGAACTCCCCCCGTGACAAAGTCTGAGGCCATTGGCTGACCCCACACCTCTAATTGAGATAGTTATACCTCGTTACGATAGTCACAGCCACCGGTCCAGGTGAATGGCTGGGGGAGTTCTTACTTTAGACAAACTATATATCACTCGTCTTCTACTCGTTGTAACTAGAATATGCTCTATTTTTCTCTACTCTTTTCCTCTCTCGATTTTCATTATTTCGAGATATCTTGTTTTTTTCGACACCAGTATAATCCAACTTTCAATTAAAACATATACTACCATGGTGAAAGGAAGATCTGCTGGAACCATGGAGAGGGGAAAAGTGTGGAGAGTAGAGAAATCACGTAACCTTAAGACGAAAACTCTATTTTCTAAGGGAATAGTACTTCGTTTACTTATAATACAAAAAAAAAATCTTACGGGTCCTTTACTTTAATAAAAAAATTAGCTTATTTTATTTGTGGTTGTAATCAAATTTACAATGTCTGTTGTTGTTGTTCTTTTTACAGGTCACAAGCATAAGTAGTTAGTCATGAGTCACTTTACCCGGGAGTAAACAGCAATAAAGTATGTCAATAATTTATGTTAGCACTATCCTCTTCCTCAGCCTAGTTCCCTGCGCAAGAACGGGACATCAAGACTTGCGCAAAGAATTAGCAGCTGTCAAAGAGCTTGTGATAACCGTAGAAAGTAAGATTTCTCATAGTATCCTATTTTTGAAAATTTTCTGTTAACTGATAAGCAATTAAATAAATAAAAAATTTGTATCTTACTGCATGAGTAATTCCAGGTTATAACAATTCATAAAAGTGTATTAATGTAATTTGCACCAAAAAAAAATAATCATAAAACTGTTAATAATAAGATCAGGCATTAATTTAAATGACTTTATTTTAAAATGCAACGTAGAATTATATTAATCTAATAATAATAAAAGCAATCCTCCGAAACTCTTAATTTAGAAATCAAACAAAATAAAAAACGTAATATATAACAGTAGAGGTAATTTTACCTTTAAATTAGGGAAATAAAAATATTTATAGGAAAAAAAAATACCTGTAAGACTTATAATATTAATTTTATGCTGATGACAACCAATCGAAAAAGAAAATTAATGTGGTAAAACTGGATCCTACCATGTGATTTTTCAGCCAATAAAAATGTATTGATAACAATGGAAAACTGTGACTAAACTATTAGATTTTTATATATGAGTCATTCCACGTCAGATCAATCACTTTTGGACCGACCCCCACCCCCTCCGATTTTAATGAAATTTGGTGGAATAAACGCACATGATAAAGTAAGCAATTTTATCAATTTTTAGATTTTAATTTGAAAATCGTCCAAATTATTGACATTTGAAAAAAAAAAAAATTTTCATAAAAAACAACAATCTTGCATAGATATAAATGACTGTAGCTTTTTTTTCTATATGTAACAGAACAAAATTTCAAACACCATTGCAAACCTAAGAATTATACCTATTATTTGATACCTTATATGACTTTCTGATGCTAGGTCAAACTTCCAAATTGACCTGATTTGACCTTAAATACCACACGTTAGCAAATTTGTAGCCTGGAGTTTCAACAGGAAGGGTAAAAAGAATTAACAAAAGTGAAATATTGAATAATTAAAAACTTTATGTTGTACAATGCACACAATTAATATTTCTTTCTTTTCCGGACAGAAATGACTTGAATTTAATATTTAATTATATAATACACGCATTTTGCTACAAATCAGCAGATTTGACAGCATTTGGAACTACTAAACACTGATTTAACATGATCACAGCTATTTCTAATCAATATGCAAATTCTTTTAAATAATCAATAATGAGAACATCATTTTCAAGCTTCTCATTTATATGTGTTATAAATTTCTCGAAGCACTCACTTTTTTGAATTTTTAAAATTAAAAAATAAATAAATAAAAATAAAGTTCTGTGTTCTTCTTTTTCTTGTTAGTTTAATCAAAAAATAAGATATTGTAGTCAATAAGTTAATGTGAGTCATTAATATTTGCTAGCTTAATAACAAATTTTCAGATGTTTTAAAAATAACAGTGAAGTTTATTAAATAAAACAAGTATTGTAAGCAATTCTGAATGAGAAAAAAATAAAAGACAAATACACTGAATGAAATAAAATTATATTTTGTTGAAAGAAAAAACAAAAAACAAAATACGAATCTTAAAAAGGTTAATTTTAATTTTGCTTTGATTATACAAAAATTATCATTTGCTGTGAGCGCTGAAGCAGATGTTTTAATTTAAAATGCAAGCATCCTAACGCATTAGTTCTGTGTGTTTCCTTTTCTTTCTCTTTGCAAGTTAATTTTATTATTTATTTATTTTTTTTATAACCAATGAGGCTTTTCAAAGGACTCTTTTAGATTTCTGTCATTTAGATTTACGATTTTGTGTACTTAAGGTTAATTTTCCTGTTTAAGATAATTTAATAAATTACCGTAATGTTATTTCATGTGTTATTGTAACGTGTCAATTACTGTATAATTTAATCGATGTACTTCATTTCACAAAATTGATTTTAAAGGTCAAATTTTTTGTGTTAATCCTCTGGTTAAAAATGACCACACCTATGTCAAAAAGAATTTGAGAAAAGTACTATCTTGGATGATCGAAACATTCCCAAATTTATCTTTGCAACAAAAAATATGTTCTTCTTTCAGAATATCTCTCTCAAAATTGCCTGATTTCTCAGTCATAAATGAAAAACCATAAATGAGTAAATCATAAAAAAGTCATAAATGAGAAGAAAAAAAACTAGGTTGTTCAGCGAATTAAACGTTTTGCGTTTTTTACTCAATTTTCAATGGATATTATGTTAATTGTCTTAGATGGAGAAAAAAAAAAGTTGCACAGTGTACCGTTTTTATTAATTCTTTATATCCTTCTTGTTGAAACTCCAGGCTACAAATTTGTAAATGTGTAGAAGAATGTTGCAGTAAAAAAAAAAAAATTTCTTTTTCGTAATTTTTTGAGACCACATATTTTGAGATATTTCAGATCAAAGGTCAAATCAGGTCACTTTGAAATTTTGGCCTAGCTTTTGAAGGTCATATATGGTATCAAATGAAAGGTCTCTTTCTTAGCTCTGCAATGGTGTTTGAAATTTTCTTTGTTGATACAATTAGCGATACAGTTAAAGTTACAGTTTTTTATACAGTACAGTTACATGCAAGTTTTTCATGAAAATTTTATTTTTTCAAATTTGGACAATTTTCAAATTAAAAATTGGTAAAATTGCTTACTATATCGTGTGTGTTTAGTTCACCAGATTCGTTAAATGATTCAGAACTTAACTTTCAGCTTCATGCACAAAGTGATGAATGCAAAAATTTTATTTAAAATGCATTCGTCCGTTTGGTATGCAAAAATATTAAATTACAGTTGAAAAATCACCAAATTTGTTATAACAATATACTTTAAATATTTGAAATAATTTTAAATGTTTTTTTTAAATGATTACTTAGAAAAACGATTTATGTTTATTTATACATCTTAATAGTATCATAAGGGAAAATGGGAAGTGGAGGCACAAGTGTTCTCTTTAGCACAGTGATTCTCAACCACTGTGCCGCGGCACTTTTGTGTGCCGCTAAATTCTTAAAATGTGCCGCCAAATATTAGAAATGATACAATAAAAATCATAATGTTTTTTTTTATTACGAATAAAGTTATAGATAGTGTTATATCTTTATTCCATAAAGTTATAGAATAAAGAAAAGTGTATATATATAAAATATTGTATATATATATAAACATTTTGTAATTTTCCCACGCTTTAAGCAAGCTAAATAGTAACTTTCAAACGGAAATAAAAGTTAATCATTAAAGTAAGTTTTGCAATTAATAGTTACAAAGACAAATTGACAAAGGATAACTAACAAAAAATAAGCTAACAATTAATAATCAGCAAGAGAACTAGTTAACAAGAAATCACAGAAAAATAACAATTAATAGCTATAGAAAACAAGCTACCAATTAATAACTAGCAAAAAAAATAATTGTTACTAACTAATAAAAAATTAGTCGAAAGAAATAATTAATCCCTTAATAAACGTGCTTTTGTATTGTAACAAGTCAAACATTTGCAGCTTTTCTTCGGCTTATTAATTTTTTAGCTTTTAATGAAATCTGATGAGAAGTTTCGGCCTTAGGAGATATTTTTGTGCGCCAGTATTGCAATCTTTTCAGAATTATAAATTTGTTTAGCTAAAAATTGCTTTATTCTGAATGAAATGTAACATTTTTTCAAGATAAAAACATCGAGTCTCAAATATTTTGGTTTGTTTACTTGTTTTATAAAGCACATTTAAATTTTTTCTTAATTTTTAGCTTTTGTTTTACTTTTTAAGTGCTTTTTTTTAATAATTTAGTGTTACTAGAGGGCTAAGCCCCCTGTTTGCTGACACTGACCAACCCAAATGATTGCTTCGCAATAATTACTGTTTCTTGGCATAAAACAGTTGAAGTTATTCAACTAAAAATAAATGTGCTAAAACAGTGATTCTCAACCATTTTTTGGGGGAGGCACACTTTAAACGATTTCGAAATTTGACGGCAGAAAATGAAAAAAATTAGTTTAAAAGTTGTTTACTTACCCATAATACACTGTGTTAAATAGTTTGTGATAATAATTTTGAGTGTGAAATAAAAAAAATATGTACTATTGGGAGTACAAATTAGTTCGGTCCATTTTTTTGTGGTCAAAAATGCATTTATTTCAGAACAAAATGAATGAACAGATTAATCAAAGTATTGTCTATCGCTGGCTACTACTTTTTCCNCAAATAATTGATTTCTACGCTGGTTCGTTTGATAACAAATGAAATGGACTGTATTAAAGATTTTTATTATGATTGGTGCTACGAGCACGCTCATGCTATAAGATCAACAACTAATTTTCAACTGATTAGGGTTACAACAAACGGTGGCGAGGATGCTGAGACAAAGATGCCAAGTTGGCGCTATATTTCTGAGATATTGAACAATGTTTAAAATAATTTTAAATGTTTTTTTAAACAAATGATTGCTTAGAAAAATGATTTATGTTTACTTATAGATCTTAATAGTATTAGAAGGGAAATATTTGGACAGGGAAAGTGGAAGCAAAATGTTCTTTTTAGTACATTTGTTTTTGGTTAAATAATTTCAATAGTTTTATATCAAGAAACAGCAATTATTGAGAAGCAATCAAGGGAGTTGGTGAGCGTCAGGGAACAGGGGGCTTAGCCCTCTATTATTAACATGGGGGGGGGGAGTGGATTTAAGACGTATATAAATAAAAAAAACTTAAAATTAATGTTAAAATGTGTATTATAAAACGAGTAACAAAACGTATAAACAAACCAAAAGATTTGAAGATCGATGCCTAGACCATGAAAATTTTACATTTCATTCAGAATAAAGCAATTTTTCGCTAAATAAATTAATAGTTCTGAAAAGATTGCAATACTGGCGCACAAAAATATCTTCTAAAGCCAAACCTCTCATCTGATTTCATTAGAAGCTAAAAAATTAGCAAACCGAAAGCTGCAAATTTTTGACTCGCTAGTACACCAATTGACTTAATTTTTCACTTAATTGACTCGTAAAATTTCGAATATACTTGCTTCAGCTACGACTACAATCAAATCTCAACATAAAATTTAACGGATATCTTAATAATCTACGATTTTACAAAATCAATTTTTTAAAAGAAGGAAATTAAATAGGAATGCAACGGTTTGCTGCATTCTACTTCGAAACTAGAACTTTTCTTCTCACCAATTATAATGATTATCACCAGATGGCACCGCTGACAGAAAAGATTTCTGCGGCAAGTTACACCACTCCAACAGAATTTTTTGCACTAGTGTCTCCTAACGTTTTCTTTATATTGTTTCACGTTGTTGTTGCAAGTGGTTTAAATGCTCAGACAATATCTTTTGATGATCTTTTATAAATATTTTTAAGACTTGATCAGAAGAAAATCTCGAGTTTTCCCAGAAAAACGCAGCAAACAGTGCATTTTAATTTAATATTGTTTTTTCCTTTAATTGATTTTTCCATACTGATGGTCATTTCGGGGATATCGAGTAAATATCTTATTTTTAAAAAAAACTTTTTTTTATTTTTTGTGTGGCAAGTACTGAACTTTCGTTCTTCACCTTGGAAGATGCCGGAAGTGTTGCGCATTTAACGCTTACAAAGTCGGCACCTGTGAACCTAAATCATGGAGGTGAACAACATTACCCACGGCACATTGCCTCATATAGTTGTTTATAGGGTGGGCCACATTCACACATCACACAATATTTTATATTTTATAACCGTCATTGTACTGCCGACCCGATTTTTTTGTTTTACGACTACTAATGTTCAACTCCGTGGCATTGTAACTGTGAACCCAATACAGAAGACAAGGGAACTCCTGGATCAAGAATTGGGAGAAGTTTGCCTTCGTGAAAGACTTTTTGATGGAACTAACCCGCAATTGCGTTACATGGAGGGGAAGACCACGAGAACCTCTCACGGTTAGCCTGATGGCATAAGGATTCTAACCCATGGTCCGTCCACCACTGAGGATATATGCCGTATGCGGAATTCGTATCGAATTCCGCACCCGCAATAAAGAACAACACACAGACAGAAATATCCATGCCTTGATCGGGATTCGAACCCACAACCATTGGCTTCACAGACCACTCTGCCAAATGGCTTAAAGAAAAGTTATTATACTTAAAATGAGCCGCGATGGCTCAGTGGTTATGCACTGAACTATCATCGCAAAGGATCGGCGTAGGGTTCTATTTCTAATGACGCCTTAGAGCCAACCAGTTTCAGATCAATGGTTTTTAGAAGTAAAAGAATTCGTTGAATGATTTTAACCATATTGTAGCACTTAATCCTGGAAATTATGATACCTCATTAATCCTCAGATCGTTCAAACTTATTGTTATAGGAGAGATTTACACCTTGTACTGTCGAACCTCGTTATAGCGAAATCGGCGGGACTATCATAATTATTTCATGTTAACCGAATTTCGTTTCATCCGATGCTTCATTAAAACAATTTATTACGTGATATTAACGCACGTTATGTACTACATTAATGTATGCAAACAATTCTATTATGAACCAATCAAATTGAAATAGGCTTTAAAGTTAATTATTTTATATATTTATCCTTCTGTTACTTCTAAAAAGGACGAAAATGGAAATATCATTCCTTAAAATGAATGATTGAGATTTTATTCGATATTTATTACAATAATACAATAACAAGGCGAGCTATTATAAATATTATTACATACCGTACCTAATTATGTATTATCTATGCTCTATCCAGTTTATTTTCCTTTTAAGCGCTAATCAGCTTGAAAACTTCATGTTAAACATGTAAAATACAACAATTGCTGACTCCAAACATGTGTTTCATGTAAAGTGATATTTCACGTTAAGCGGTTTCGCTTTTGTGAGGTTCAACTGCATTACAGTTAAACTAAATTTAAATGTCCAATTTCTCATTAATTAGTAAGTAATTTATACAGTCGCTGGCCAAATTATCAGACGCACTATATAAAATCTTAATTATCTGGTGATACTATACAGCTTTATTATTTCTACGTGACTGAAACCGGTTTGCACTTGTTTACGTTCGTCTATCAATGGATTTAGTTAAATTATATATAATTTAAATTTGACGATTGGATTAATTAGACGATATATTATTTAAATATAGACTATTTATTAAACTAGATACTATATTAGTCTATTATAATAATTAGATCAAAATATTAGACGCACTGCAGTTTTTTAATAATTGCATGTTTTGAACGACTTTATAGGCAGTACTTTTGTATTTAAACATACACGTAATGGGTTTTTATTCAGGAGATTTTTTTTATATACTTTCTATTTGTATTTATTTTTAACGTATTGCATTACAATGTTGACCAACTGATACAGGAGCGTAAGCAAATGCAAACCGGTTTCATCTGAGTAAAAACAATGCAGCTCTATCGCATCACCTCATAATTATAGTTTTACTTAGAATCCTATAGTGCGTCTAATAATATGGTCAGGTACTGTAGTCCAACTTCTCATATAATGAGTGTATTCTTTTTCCCTATTTAGGAAAATTGAACTCCTTATCACTGCCAGATATCGGAAAAAAGTTAAATAGTTTCGAGACGTCAATCAATACCCTAGTACACAAAGTGACCGACATCAACCGAAAGAGCCAACTCTTAAGTGAAATCCACCAGGACAATGACGCCAGGAAAGAAGTCCTCCAGAGGATGTCTCGTAGTTTAGAGGACATCAACAGAAAGCAACTGACTTTCTTAGAAAAGAAAAACGAAGTCGAAATAGACAGACTGGACAAACTGTCTGAGAATGTTCAGGCTCTCTTTCAAATATTCGGCGGCATGAACAGAAAAATAGACGACCTACAGACTAGAGTCGAGAGAATATCGAACGTTTGCCCCACGAGTGATTTAAAATTCTTCATCACGAAAAAGATCGATTCCTTGACTGCATCGATGGCCATGCTCTCCGAATGCCTCGAATGCGATCGCGATTCGTTAAAGGATGTTCTACAATCCTTCCTGCGCCAACCCATGGATAATATCGTCAAGAAATGCGCATCCGGTGACGTCGAGAGAAATCTCGGAAGGATGATCGACTCGAAATTGAAAGGAATGTCGGACACTCTGCAGTCTTCGGTCCAGACGAAGTTGCAAAGCTTCAACGTCCAGCTCCACGGTGCGATCGAAGAGTGCAGTTGCAAGAATCAGAAACTGACAGCCCACGACATCGCTTACTCCAGCGACACCCACCAGGAACAGAGAACGGTGGGCAAAAGCGAGGAGAGCCCCGGGAGAATTTTTCGCAAACTTTGGCGCAAGATGATAGAGCCCATCAACAAGGTTGGCGAAAAAATCGAATCTCTCAGTCAGACGATCGAAGTGTCGAACGAGCGACATCACAACTCCACTCTGTCCAAACTGAAGGAATGGACTGGTAAAACGAAAGATGGGGGTGAGGCGTGTTCGAAACAGATTCTGGGTGTTCAGAACGAGACCAAAAAGTTCGCGGAGAAGCTGGAGCAGATAGAGACGAGGCAGATTTCGGTGCAGAGTACTACGAACAAGATATTGTCCGAAATGGAACGCGTGAGGAGTAACATCAAAGGAAGCAATACCGTCTTTGTGCCGGGTGTCACGGAGGCTTATATTGAAGGTCCTGGAGCTGATGGTTACGTGGGTACTAACTGTGCGGATATTCAAATGCAGGGGATCACGAGAAATGGAATATACACGCTGAAACCAAAAGGAGCCACTGATCAGTTCATTGCTTATTGTGACCTTGAAACAGATGGAGGCGGATGGACGGTAAGTGGAAAATCTAAATGCTATAGCAAGAAAAAAAAACAATTTATCACTTAACATACTAACCCTTAATATATAGCTATTTCTACTATAGCGGGTCAAATGACAGGACTTTACGTTTCTTGATTGAATGTGTGTAATATGCATGTTAGGAAGGAAATAAACTTAAAAAAAACTTTATTATACATAATTATACAAAATTGTATATTGCCAATTTTTATGTATCACAAACACAAGGAATAAGAATTTTTAATTCATTGCTCAACTCATTTTTTACATATACTGTACATTGTACAGTATATGTAAATGTACAGTTTCCACTGTACATTTTCCGCAAATATATTTCCTCGAATTATTATTATTTCTATAATTCTTATAACTATAAGAATTATAATTATTCTTATTAAATATCATTTCTTCTAAGAACTTGTGCTGTCTTGATTGTTTCGACATTTTTCAGGATAAAAACTAACAGTTAAGTTAGAAATGAAGTAAAGCTATCCAAATAAAATATAAGTTACTTACCAAAGCATTTAGTTTTTGCCACTTTTTCTGACACAAAAATGCCAATCTAAAATTTTAAGTGCTTTCTTGAAATTTGAATTCACAGTTATTCTAATGGAACTAACTACGCAACCGTCTTTGCAGAAAAGTGCAACTCATCGAATGCAATACATAGAACACGCAAAATTGTTCTCCCGGTCAAATGACCGGTTGTGGTAGGAATAGGTATACGACAAGTATTATTCGAAGCAAACAATATACAGAAAAAAATAATAATAGAATATTAACTGTATATAATTGTTTGAAAAAGTCATAAAGTCAGATATGCAAAAACGGTAAGATAGGCGCATTTTCTATGCAAAAGTTCTTAAACGGTCATTTGACCGGTTATGGTATGTATAGTGTTAAAAAGAGGGTGAAAAGAGTAAACTGTGCAACATTTTTCTGACCTTTAGATAATACTATATGATTCATCATAAGCAAAGGATTCGTGTATCAAAACTAAAATGGGCCTACAAGTCAAAATTTTTGATGGTTTACCATTGATGGACCAACATAATCTTGATCGTAACCATCAATAATTCCATCGTGAATATTTAATATTTTTGATCTTAACCAACATAAGTAACCAAAATAAATAAGTAACTAATAACAGATTGTATAGTTTGTTATGGAATTATATGTCTAATCTATTCATTTCAGTTTAAAAATCGTTTCGTGTTATTGTGAGATTTAACTTTAAAAAAAAATTGAGTGTTAATTCAAAACGTAGGTAATCGTTGAAAGCATTACGCCATTATAGAATACGCCATTTTGCTGATAAAGATTAGTTGGCGCTGACGCCATAGGTCACATGTTTATGCATGGGAGGTTTTCTTCTTCATGAAGTGCAAGGACCCAATTAACCGGATTTAGTTTTCCACAAGTCCTTGTTATGTAGCTTAATGATATTTTCTTCCACTCAATTTGGAAAAGACACACAAGTCCCTCTTCCAATTTTGGAGGATTGTTGCAGCCCTTCAAATCGACCCAGGTTCCGAATCGTAGAACTGCATATCACCAAAATCAAGCATCACTGGCAATGGTCAATAAACGGATCACCTTGATCAGAATGCGAAAGCAGCAGGGATGCGCGGACCTCTTTATAATACTTGTTCTACTGTAAATAACTTAGCTCACTGGTAGTCGAGCTATCAAAGCAGGAGATCAAAGTTGTGAAAGCAGGTCTTATCTTCAGGGATACTTCCCAGAAAGTGTTCGATATCAAAATGCTATACCTAAGTCAAATTGATGGACCAACATAATCTTGATGGTAACCATCAAGAATTCCATCATCAACCATTATATTTTTGATGGTAACTAACATAAGCAACCCTCATCCCAATGTAGGAATTCGGACTGATTTATATTGGTCTAACATAAGAATAGCAACTTATTTTGATGGTTTGTTCATGTTAAATCATCTGAAATTTCCATCATAGTTTCTTAGAAATCAAATGTTGGAGCGATCATGAACCACCATCATCCCAATGTAAAAAAAAAGTCGGACTGATTTTTGATGGCCCGACTTAAAAAAAATTGTTTTGGTCGTATATTCCTGCGAACCAACAAGAATTCCCATTATACATCATCATGGACCATCACGGATCGCCATGGATTGTTGGTCAATGAGAATCAAACTTCTCTTGATGGTTAACCATCATAGTATTAAAGCAGCATTTTCCATCATGGAATGATGGAAGTTTACTGGTATATCGAAAAAAACCAGGAACGCATAAAGGAAAATGTTGGATGATGGTGACAATCAAATGATGTTGGACCCTCATGAATCGCACTGAAAACAACATAAACCATCAAAATGGTTTGATGGAACCATCAAAGATTTTGACTTGGGTAGTCCATTCTGCTGCTCTAGAGTGACGTAAACAAAGCGACGTACTCCTCAAACCAACCCAGAGTTTCTCGCAAAGAATATAGAAGGAGAATAAGTACAGCTCTTCGAATACGATACTATTGCGGGGAACTGCTCGGTTCGTTACGCTATAAAAGAAAAAAAACTTACAGGGTGAGAAGAAAATTCAGATTTAGAAGAGCGTTATTTGAACTAAGATCCTGCGCATGCGCATAAGAAGCAAAGTGATAGTCATGAGGTACGTCATCCGTGAACCGGTTGTTAGACTACTCTGTACGCTACTTCTCACCAAGCGCCATTTTTTTTCTTATGTCAAACTGCATTAGATGATATAAATGTGTTCTCAAAGAAATATCTTTAAAAGTACAGTACTGTTTATCAATATTGTAAAAATACGGAACAAACCAACGATAGGCGATCGCACCGCTCGAATACGCCACCTGGCGAGAAGACAGAATCCATGTCATCCTCTCCTCCTCTTTACAGTTGTATAGGAATGTACTGCGATATTTTTCCTTTTCTTAACATTTTTCGTATTTAATTGTTAAAAATATTTTTTTGAAATTTCTATGAAGCTTTTTTTTAGAACTACGATGCAGTTTTCCGTTCCATATAGTTTCCTAACTTAAAAGACTTTAATCTATTTGAAAATCAAGGCAGAAACTAACGTACTTCCTTCTGCTATGACTCTCCGCACGCTAATTGTGAAAGCATGCGAAGTGTTGCCATAAGTAGAAAATTCTGCTCTAAGCCACCTGTAGCCCGTTTCGATCGCCAATAAAGAAAAGGAAAACTTTTCTTCATCACCCCAACGCTTTCCCAATCTCAGTATTGGTTAAGAGGAGAGGAGGGTGCAAACCTGTTTCAAGAACCTCTGTTGTTGTGCCCCTAAATGTTGCTTTTTCCTTTATAGACAGGAACCGGGTTTAACCTTGAGGGACTGGTTTACACTATGTCAATGAAAGATACAGTTTGTCTAGAGTATGAACTCCCCCCGCCACAAAGTTTGAGGCCATCTGCCGCTATGGAAACAAGAATAGCGGTTTCCAGAGAGGGTAGCTTCTCCTCACTCTAAGGCTAACACAATGGACCAATGTAAAAGATTCCCTTCCTCTGTCCGACCCGAGTTAAAACCTGCAATAAACAGTGACCCTATCCCCCTATTTGAAATAGTTATACCTCGTTACAATAGTCACCACCACGGGTCCAGTCGAATGACGAGGGGAGTTCTTACTATAGACAAACTATAGACACTTCTTCTCCCATGTATATTCTTTGGTTTCTCGATAGGATTCGGGCAAGATTCATTCTGTTAAAAGTACCGAACTCAACCATCGCAAGGGCTTGGCGCTGCTGTCAGCGAAGTGGTCTGGATCCAAACTAGCATAATATAACTGATTTAGTTAAAATTGTTCTTTAGTGCATTCGTAAACCATAAAAGAATATTTACGGCACATATAAAGTACATCCAAAACAAATTTTAACCTTCAAAACCAAAGTCAGTATCACCCTATTCCAAAAAATGATTCACATTTCGTATTTTCGATCTTCTAAAGTTTAACTACGTAGTCTTGTAATTTTGAACCCAATCCAGAAGACAAGGGAACTCTTGGATCGAGTATTGGGAGAAATTTGCCTTCGTCGAGTACATTTTGATGAAGCTAACCCGCATTTCCGTTACTAGGAGATGAAGAAAACGAGAGCCTCCTACGGTTAGCCTGACGACAAAGGTACTCTAGCCCATGATCCGTCTACCACTGAGAATAAGTCACATCAGCACTACGGTCGGTGCAAGCCGGATGCGGAATTCGTATTCGATTGCGAACCCGGTTCGCCTCATTAGAAGGCGAATGCTCTATCCCCTGAGCCATCGCGGCTCCCAGTTGATCGTTTTTTTTTAAATTTTATTTTATATCCGTCGTTGAACAGACGACCCAATTTTGGGTTTACGACTGCTAATGTTCAACTCCGTAGCCTTGTATTTTTGAACCAATCCGGAAGACAAGGAAACTCCTGGATGAGTACCCGCAGAGGTATTGATTTGTTATGGGAACATGGAGAACTTTGCAACTTGACAGATTTAACGTGCACCAGTCACCATTTACTACACGGGGAGTCTTCGGTCGGCTGGGATCGAACCCACGAACTCTTGGACATGGGCCCAGTGTCCTACCAACCAGGCTATCCCGGCCTTCACGCAATATTTTGACATAATACTTATGACTATATACATAACACTAAAAATGTAGGTTATGAGTTTAATACGAGGGTTGTAAATTGAATAGTGGCAACTTTACCTTGAAACTCACGGAAGGGCGGGCATGCGCTAATAGGATATGGGAGTGGTGAGGTGGCGCTGTTGGCGTTGTGTAGAGTGCAAAAAACAGTTGATCTGCATAGAAGGGTAGTTGTTGTGTGGCGTCAAAGTGAGGAGTTTCGCTTCCATCGCTCTAAAGCATGTTTTTAAAAAGGTGATTAGCGGTTGTGGCTTGAAATCGAGGTTCCCCGTGTCAAAAATGCAGCAGAATGCTATCGAGGATTAGTGGAAGCCTGTGCCGTAAATGCGTTACCGTATAGGACAGTAGCACGATGGGTTCAAGCATCTAGTCTTTTTTCGTCATTAAGCCTTTTGAAAACATGCTTTGGAGCGATGGAAACGAAACTCCTCACTTTGACGCCACACAACAACTACCCTTCTATGCAGATCGACTGTTTTTTGCACTCTACACATCGACAACAGCGCCACCTCACCGCTCCCATATCCTATTAGCACATGCCCGCCCTTCCGTGAGTTTCAAGGTAAAGTTGCCACTATTTAATTTACAAACGTCGTAGAAATAGCAAACAGTTGTTCCATCAAACGCTCTGTAGCATGGTGGTAGAGGGTTCGAATTCCTTCGTAACACTGGATGCTTCTTCGTGCTGTCCTGCTCTAAGTTGGGCTATATGTTCTTCAACATCATCCATCACGCTTTCAGGAGCGGGTTCAAATCCCGCCGTAACCCTAGATGCATCTTCGTGCTGTCCCTATCTGAATTGTACTATCCGTCTTTATATTTAACAAAGGATCCCCTCTTCAGAGGATCGAAATTGCGATGGCACGTCTTCGGATTATCCTCAGGGATGTTTCCCAGACTGTCGCCAATAGCCCATTGTGCAGCTATAGTGCGAAGTAAATAAAATACCTACCTACCTGTTTGATAAAGGCTTATAAGTCGTAGTTATATAATTGAGAACACAAGCCTGCATGTATGTCTANTTTTTTTTTTTTTTTTTTTTTTTTTTTTTTTTTTTTTTTTTTTTTTTTTTTTTTTTTTTTTTTTTTTTTTTTTTTTTGCACATTCATTCTAATGATACAGTATCTATTGCAGAATATTTCATATTTGAAGATACCTGCAACAGATACTGTATCATTGCAGATACTGCAGATTCTGCTGTTTAAGGTCGTGAACAAAATGTGAGACATTCTTATTTGTTTCTAGTATGAATACAGGGAGGTTAAAAGCACGCTTTATTTCCTCTCCAAGTCATGGTGACCACCGGTAAAATAATCTTCCACGTTACAAAACAAAAATTATTCTGTCCTTTTTAGCAAAGCAATCATGTGTCTTTCATATCATGAATCTACCATATATTCTCATACTAACCATATACTCACCACATGTATCTACCATATATTTTCCATCTTGAAAGCTTATTATTGAAACCATGTGTCTTTTATTTACCACAAGTATCCACCATATATTTTCCATTCTGAAATCATGTCTATTGAAATCACGTGTCTTTTATTCGCCACTTATATCTATCACATATTTTCCATCTTGAAAACTTATTATTGATATCATATGTCTATCTAAATCACGTGTCTTTTATTCACCACATATGTCTACCAAATATTTTCCATCTTGAAATCATATCTATTGAAATCATATGTCTTTTATTCACCACATGTATTTATCATATGTTTTCCATCTTGAAAGCTTATTATTGAAATCATATCTATTTAAATCACATCTATTGAAATCATGTGTCTTTTATTTATTCCATGTATTTACCATATATTTTCTATCTTGAAAGCTTATTATTGAAATCATATCTATTGAAATCATGCGTCTTTTATTCACCACATGTATCTACCATATATTTTCCGTTTTGAAAGCTTATAATTGAAATCATGTGTCTTTTATTCAGCCAAATTATATACTATATATTTTCCATCTTGAAATCATATCCATTGAAATCATGCATCTATTGAAATCATGTGTCTTTTATTCACCCCATTTATCGACCATATATTTTCCATCTTGAAAGCTTGCTATTGAAATCAATATTCAGTGTTATCAATGATGTCAATATCTATTGCACGTCTATTGTTATTTTAAACATTAAATGTGCACACGCGCTGATAACAACAACCTCGCTGTAACAAAAAAAATGTATCCGATATTGCGATTTTTCGTTTATTTCGCAATGCATGTTTTGTGCTTCTTAGTAACATGTCTTTTCTTGCCCTTTTTAGACTTATTTCTATTCTATTTCTTTTCTAGATTCAGAGTAGAAGAGGAAAACAAACAGTATCGCCTCTACGTCAGCGGTTACCAAGGCAACGCAACAGATTCCTTAAGTCTTCATGACAACAAAATGTTTTCCACATATGACAGGGATAACGATGAAGTGGCATCCTGCTGTAACTGCGCCGACACTTTCAAGGGAGGATGGTGGTATTACCGGTAAATTATATTGTCAAAATACCTTTTACAAATTGTCAAAACAAATCAACATACAGTTTGTCTACGGTAAGAACTCCTCTCTCTACGAAGTCTGGGGTTGTCAGCTACTATGGAAACAAGAACAGCGCATTTCAGAGAGGGTAGCTTCTTTTCATTGTAGGGCTAACACAGTAGACGGAAGAAAAAGATTCCCTTTCTCTCGCCGACATGAGAAAAAACCTGTCCTAAAAAATGACCCCACACCCCTACTTGAATAAGTTATACCTCATTACCATAGTCACAGCCATGGGTCCAGACGAATGCCATGGGGAGTTCTTTCTTTAGATAAACTATAGTCATTCACATAGCTAATCTAGTCAGTTCATTTTAATGACTTAAACCTAAAATCATATTGAAGAGATTCTGATCAACTAAAATCAGCGGGTTCGGGTCAATTGAGTGAAGATCAGTCACAAAACATGTAAAATTGAAAAACTCAATAAATTTAAAAATACAATCAAACCGCGCTATAGTGAACCTTCAAGGAACCGAAATTTCGGTTCACTGTAGCCGGGAGTTAACTATCCGTACTGCAAATAATTTTAACTAATTTTTCCGAACTGCTCCCTTTTATTACGCATTATTTAAATAAATGACCCATAAAAGGAAATACAAAAATAATTAAAAGAAACAATGCTTAGCCACAAAAAAAATGTGTTAACTTTTATTTTTAATTACTCTACGTTTTACGTACAAAAAGAAAATTAGGGTTGGTTTTTATTTAGGGATGTGGAACTGAGATAGAAAAAGCAAACAAGAAAAAATGAAGGCTACATTCCAGTCAATAGATGGTTTTAAAAATCGATATACTCGTATGTATTTTATGTAGAAATTTCAAAATTACCAAAAAATGTAGAAAAAAAATCAGTTGGAGATAGAAAAAAGTTCATAATATCCTCTCTTCTTTTGGTTCGCTATATCCACCAAAAATAATATTATATATGTATAGCGAGGCACGGGAGCGAACATTTCGTTCACTATATCCGGGAGTTCGCTATAAATCACGTTCACTATAACGGGGTTTTACTGTACTTATTTCACTTCTTAGTTAGAGGTAAAGGTAAACTTACCTTACCTGTATTTTTCTGTGTTGATTCTTCAAGTTAAGCCGAGGGAAGATGGACTACTTTTCAAAAGTTGGCTACTCTTGAATAAAAGAAGTCATTATTAAAAATAAACAAGGTCTGCCATTGAAGGAATTAACTCCTGTCCATTTTTTTGAAAACATTTAATATTCAAACAAAAACGTTACAAACAAGATTAAACGACACATTAATATTTTGAAAAAGGAACAGCTCATTTCATCCTCTTAACTCGTAGGCGATCATTCAACTTCTGCTTACTTAGAAACTGCGGTTACGTCAAAGTTACAGTTAAATTATAAAATCAAATATATATATTATGTATATGTGTATTATGTATATATATATATTATGTATATAACGTATGTATATATATTATGTATATGTGTATAATGTATGTATATATATAATGTGTATGCATATATATATAATATGATTTGGATCACTACTCAAATCCACTCATTCAAATCAACAGGTTTGGAATTATTTTTAATGAATTGTAATTAACTGATTTGAATAAATGATTTAATTTAATTCCATTCGAAGTTCGAAATTGTCAGATAGATTAAAGGTAGATTTAATTTGAATCAACCGTTTTAAATGAACTGATAATTCAAATACGGCAAATATATGAACGGAATCATCGTTTCAGTATCAACTAGTAGAATATATGTAACACAAAAACGGAGTATAGATAGGCTCTATAACTAGAGTAAAACATAATAGGTCAAAGCTTACTCGTATATTACACAGTCTTATAATGCCTTGAGAGTTTTGAGGGAATTTATCATTTAATTTATCAAAACTAGTAGTTGGAAGTAGCGCGCTACAGTTAGTGAAACTACTGCCCAGAAAGCATATAACCTTGCGGCAACCTTTTGTCAGAATTTTCTTTTTAGTGTCACAAAAATATTTGTACTAGAAACCTTTTTTTCAATTAAAAAATAAAACGTTGCAGTTTCAAACCTTTTATTCTAAAAGGATAAAAAATTATTTTTTAAAGCTTTTTTTAAAAAGTATTGTCAAGTGCTCGACTTCATGCACAGGTCGTCGGGCTACCAAAGCAGGAGAGCCATCCCCTCTGCAGAGGATCAAAATCACGATGGCATGTCTTTTGATCCTCTTCAGGGATGCTTCCTTGACCGTCGCCAATTGCTCATTGGGCAGCTCTAGTGAGGCGTAAATGAAGTACCTACCGACCTAAAGTAATAGTTTTTTTTTAAATTTTTGAAAATTGATTTTCGTTTTAAACTACAACCTTTGAGCAGTGATGGCTCAGGGGATAGAGCGCTAGCCTCCCAATGAGATGGTTCGAATCCCGGCGAAAGCTGGTTTATTCGAATTCCGTATCCGGCTCGCACCGACCACAGTACCTACGTAAAATATCTTCATTGGTAGTCGGATCATGGGTTAGAGTCCCCTTGTCGTCAGGCTAATCATGGTAGGTTTTCGTGGTTTTCCTCTCCATGTTACGCAAATGCGGGTTAGTCCCATCAAAAAGTACTCCACGAAGGCAAATTTCTGCCAATATTTGATCTAGAAGTTCCCTTGTCTTCTGGATTGGGTTCAAAATTACAAGGCTACGGAGTTGAATAGTAGCCGTAAACTGAAAATTCGGTCAGCTGTTCAACGACAGTCATAAAATAAAACCAAAATTACATCCTTATTCTCTCTGAACATGTTTGTTTCCTTTTCTTTTCAGATGCTTTGAAGCCAATTTGAATGGACCCTATCACACAGATCCGACAGAAAATGGTTATTTCCTGGGCATCATTTGGGAGAGATGGAAGGGTGACTACTCCTTGAAGTCAAGTGAAATGAAGATCAGACCCCTGAACTTTGAAGACCTGAGAGACCCATGAAGTCTCTCTCAATGCGAGACCATCTCTAGTCTTCCATTATAGCACTGGAGTCTTAATTCAATGAAACAAAAACAATTATCCCCCTCCCCTCAAACAAACAAAAAAAAAACTCCTTACGTGATGATTGTTGCCATTCGACAATGGAGAAAAATCACAGAGCGAATGTCAAAACAACTATTTGAATGGAATGCCAGGAGTTGGTGCAAATGGTGTGATTGCAATATGAGAAGACGAATTGTTTCGTTTATCCTTTTACAAAAATTAAATAGCGTATAAGGAACACGTGGTCGAACTAATAGCTTTCCGTTGGATCCTTTATAGATCTTAATTTATAATTTTTCGTTTTCATATTCTAGTTACAGTGGCTTTTATTTTTATTTTCGTCCGATTCTATATTTAATATTTCGATTTATTTACTCAGTCTGTTCTAAAATTTGTTCTAAAGTTTTTTTTTTCTTTATTATTATTATTGGTGGACCAAATAAGTTTTACTTGGATTATTTGTAGTTTCTTAATTTCTATTCTTTCATTTGATGTACTCGTTCCCTGAAGCTTTTGTTTTTATTTTAGCCAGATTTAGTATTTAATATTTCGTTTTATTTTGATTGCACTCAAAATATGTTCTAAAATTTGTTCTGATTCTTGCGTTTTTTCTATTTTTATATGGTCAAAGAAATACAATTTAAGTTGGATTATTTGTAACTCTAAATTTCAATTTCTTCATTTTGATATAATTTTCTAGTTTCCTGTAGCTCTTGTTTCTATTTTAGTCAGATTCTGCATTTAATTTTACGATTTATTTCGATTATGCTCAAAGTCTGTTCTAAATTTTGTTCTGATTCTTATGTTCTTTTCTCCCTATTTTCTTAATATGGTCAGAGAAATAAGTTTCAGTTGGATTATTTGTAACTCTAAATTTCTATTTCTTAATTTTGATATAAATTTTTGGTTCCCCGTAGCTTTAATTTCTATTTTAGTCAGATTTTGTATTTAGTTCTTCAATTTATTTACTCAAAATCTGCACTTAAAGTTTATTTTTGATTCTCTCTAGTAATAAATAACTATCAATTGCGCCTAAAAAAAGTAGACCAAAAAATTTAAAACTTCTCTACGTTCATTAGTTTGAAACACATTCAAACAAATTTAACACATTGCTGCAAATGACGGATATATTCGTCCTATTTTTGATGATGTGTTGGCAAATGATGACTATAGCAGTTCTTCACAGTTTTTAATTAATAAAAAAAAGGAACATCAATAGTGCGAAGTGTACAATTGCATTTATTTGTTAATCATTCATTGAAACATCGAAAAAAAATGATTCCGCCATTTTCTTTGGAAAAAGAAAATGTCGTGACAAGTAAAAGACGTTTACAGTAGTCGAAAGTTTTCATGAACAAAATGTGATAATTTTCACTTCTAAACACGCGACTGACGCTCAATTACATATGAAAGTCATAAACATTCGAAACAAAAATGTGTTACTGAGCATGATCATCAAATAAATGCAAGCGGCAACGTGTTAAATTCAGATGCTTAGTTTTAAAAGCTGTCCTGGTCTTATTATTTATTAAATATGTGCTATTTTTACCTCTTCTTCAATCCCTACTATTAGTTCACACTCTCCCTATATATCTTGTTTTAATTTTCAATCGTTAATAAAATACTTTTTATTCATTCACTCAAGTTCAAATACTTTTTTTTTAACTTGAAGTGGATATCACTTAATGTTAATACAGTTTTTTCAAATATCAATGCATTAATTAAATTTTATTAATTAATTTTAGTTTTATATGGGAGGAAAAATTATAATTATTTAATAATAAGTAACTGAAATAAAAATTTTATTTGTTGACCTAAGTAGGAATTGACTTTAAAACTTTTTTTTAATATTACTTGTTTTATTTTTTTTTAATATACCTGTTATTTAAGTTTAAAAAAATTTTTAATTACCACCGCCAGGGGGTTATATTTTTTCGATAAATACATGCTGAGTGACCTTGAGATTCCCTAAACGAGTTCCAGTCAGAAGTCAGTATGAATCGTGTGTGTAAGAATGAAGAGTTTCCACGTTCTATATATTTTTGTGCACATAACATAGCTTCTAGAACCATTTGGCTTCGTTACGTTTATCATTGTAAGAACCATTGTATACCATTGTAAAAGCTCTCCGTTCCTGTTTTTTTTAATTTTCAGTCTAGCTCAGTGTCGCCGTTCCTGGCTCTTGTATCATTATGCCAATAGTCAATTCCTTTGTAGAAAATTGCAATTCACATTTAACATTTGTCTTAGCATTAATATGTTTCCATTAAGAATAATTATGCCCCTAACCCACATTATGTCACATGTTAAATCAAACTAATAACCATGTTCATTTTGATAGCATTATTATTTGCATATTATTCTCTAACAAAGCTCCTGTTTCTTTTAATCCGTGTCAAAGTTTAAGGCATTTTAAACAACACGGAAAGAATTTTTAAGAGCGTACACATGAATGAAAAGATGCAAATTAACTTTAGACTCCGGTAGAAGTGACCTCTAGTAAATTGCCTCTTTGCCTACAATGTATCTTCGCCTATACGTTATAACTCTTCCAAAATAATTGTCCACTGCAGCAAACTAATATTTTCGTGTGTAAGTCCATTCCCTTTTTAACTACACTACAATTTAACTATTCCTACTAGATAGTTTTGAGTAAAACAACGGAGAAAATAAGCAGAACAAAGCATGAAAAAGAACGAAAGGAAGAAAAAAAAAGTACATGAGAAATTGAGTGTAAAACAAACGAGAAAAGCATATCGGACAATTAATTTTGGGACCAAGAACATTATTTACTGCGATTTCTCTCTCAGTTGGACGCTTTTTTATTATTCTTGAACAACAAATAAAATCCTATCGAACATTATTAGGAGACAAAAAAAGAAAATTATTTGGACTGTTAGAGGGGGATAAAGGAAAAAGCATAGCCGATAATTATTTTGAAATTTAGTTATTTGAATCCGATAATTATTTTGAAGCCGATAATTATCCGAAAAATGTTTTGGGGACTGAAAAATGGCTATCGAAATGGGCTAGAGCTAGATGGCGTAGAGCAGAACTCTCTCTACCTATGGCAACACTTCGCATGTTTTCACCATTACAGTGTGGAGAGTCAAAGGAGAAGGAAATACGTTAGTTTCTATCTTGATTTTCAGATAGATTAAAAACTTTTAAGTTGGAAAATGATATGGAACTGAAAACTACATTGAACATAGTTATAAAAGAAAACATTGTGAAAATTTAAAAGAAATATTTTTGACAATTGAATGCGAAAATTATTAAGAAAGGAGAAAATATTCCTATACAACTGAGGAGAGGAAAGGGGGGGAGCTTAAGACATGGAACCGTTCTTCTCGCCAGATGGCGTATTCCAGTGTTGCGATCGCGAATATTATGTGTTACATTTTATCTCTCTATTGTTTGCTTTTTGTTATTGTCGGACTACAGGGAATAGCATATCAGACATTATTGTGGATAACAGAAAAAATCAGATTAGATAGTTAATGGGGAACAAATTAGAAAAATGCATTGTTGAGTTAGTGGGAGGGGGGAAAGGAAGAAATCATATCACACAATTATTTCCAATAGATAATAGTATTAACGGCGACTTATCTAATCAAACGATGAAAAGCAAATAATAACAATTTTAATACTTCTGTATACAAATGTTGGTTACATTGATGCGTAAACAGAGTTTATGAAAATATTTTGAGGAGTGTTTCAGAAACTGTTGAAGTTGTGAAATTTTATGAAAAAGTTAACGAATAATTGCCACCCGCACAGTTGTAATCGTTGTTTGGTATCGTTAAGAAAAGTTACGTTACGTTTGATTTTCGTGTCTTCCTACATATATACTGCCATGGGTATTTGCAGAAATTCTATTTCAACTGTTTTCTGCATTTATCAATAAAATTAATTGATATCAGTGTTATTATAATATTCATAAACTGTTCACACGTATTTGTTTGGTGTATTTATGTGTTACTCCGAATATAATTTGTAAACTCATCATCCTCTTCCCATTTCCAACTTTAATTAAATTTGTTACACGTCTAGTATTTAGGTATTTGTGTATATATATATATATATATAATGAAGTTTACTAAAGAAGCATTGCTCTAAGTCCTACTATAAACTTGTAAAAATGTATAAAGCATAAATTAGTATCAATTCTTATAACTTTCAATGTTCCTAAATGCTACAAGATTTTTAGCAATCAGAAATTAATTTTTAACCTGTTTTTACATGGTGTGTAATATTTGATACCTGGGGCATGTTAGCTTGAATGTGCTAAAGAAACTCACAAAGTAGTTTTGCAAAAAATGTCTAAATAATTGTAGAAAATGATATAAATTTTAGTATTTATATTTGAAACAATGTTGGTAACCAAATTAACTATTTGGTTACATTTTAAATACAACACAGGACTCTGTTTATTTATGCTAAAAAAAGTTTGTATGTATACACTATGCTTTATACAGTAAGAAAAATCAATAGCATAGAAAAAATTAACAAAACATTAGATGAATACCATAGATGAGACTATAGTTGATTTTTTGAACTCTTGACTCTGATGTGTTTCCTTAATCTAAATATTTTGTAACAACATGTGGCTCAAACTTTAAATCATTCACTTGACTAAACTACTAAAACATTTAGTAAATTTTGTTCGTAAATTTTGTAAAAAAAAAAGTAAGTTTTTGGGCCAAATTTTGAAAATTTAATAACTATTGTTTGCTCTAAGTTCATTAGTGCATCTCAAAATATTAAAATTGCAACTTCCTTCAAGGCAATTCAATAATAAACACTTAATAATTTTTTTCTTTTTTTGCCAACTGAACTAATTATATTACTTCCGAAAAATTGGAAGTGATTTTGGAAAGAGAACATAATCTTTTGTGTAATATAAATCTATAAATCTTACAAATTCCTGAGGCTATTTTCTAATTTTTATCGAAGAAAACAGTACAAAAGTATAAAATTGAAGAATAATAAACTAACTCATTTTGTATATAGAAAACTATACAAATACAAATATAAAAGTAATTATGCACATTACTGTTTTAAACATTATTTTATTCCAGAATAAAGAGTACCTAGTCAACTTTCAAAATTAAACATTAGTGGAATTAAATTCTTAAAAAATTTAAATCTCTTATTTGTTAAAGAAAATGAAACAACCGTAAACGTAGAAAAGTAGGCTAGGTAAAGAGATAAAATTAGGCTAGATAATATTTCATGATGAATAATGTTTTTACCTCTGTCCAGTTTCCAACTTTCCAGCTTGGACAATCACCCATATTACAACTTTTAGAAACAACTCTTGTTGTTGGATCACAGTGACTATCAGGTTGTTTCGAATTTTCTTCATTGCGACATTCAGAAGAACGTTGCTGAGTACCTTCCCCACAAGAAACTGAACACTAGATAAAAAATACAAGCAATTTTTCAGACATTTCAGCTAAAACTAATGTTTATATTGCATATAAAGTAGAAACGTTTGAACAAACAAGTTTGGAAACAAATAAGTTTGGCAAACCTACTTAAAATTAACCATTGATTTGCCTGCAACTGAATTCAAAGCAAATTAGGCGATTTATTAATTCTCTGATGCTTTTGCCAATGGACAAAATTGAGAATATTTTTTTCCCATAAACACCGTTTCTTCGATACAATAGCATGAGAAAAAATAATTAGCCATGCTGAAAAAAAATCTCTTTGCAATTCAAGTTTCCACATGCAGGATTATCAGCGAATTAAAAAAGCAAACATTTACAAAATTGAGTCGCTTTTAGGAACACATTTACAGTAAAAGCTCAATATAGTAANTGTTTATTTACATTGAGGTTATTTTATTATTAATCCCTTAACTCAAATTAGAAAATGGCCGGATTTGTTTATCTTCAAAGTTCCCAATGTTCTCCAAAATTCCAGGTTTATTCCGAGATTTTTTGCCCTTCTTTCATAAACAGTAGGTCTTTTGCATCACTACCTGAAAGGAATTCAAATAATAGAATGCTATTTATTGGATATTAAAAAAAGGAGGCTTTTAAATCATATTAAATGTATTCTTCGAATATTTATTGAAGGAATATTACTTTTGTTTGTCAGTATATAATGAATAAAATGTATGTACAGTGCGAAAGAAAAAAAAAGAACCAGAACTCCCTAAATAACTTTTGATCTAATGATTGGATTTCTCGGGCAGAAACTTGATGGTCAATAAGATCAAACATGCGAATTAATTAGTGTATATGCTATATTAAGTTATTCGATACAAAAAAATATGTTCTCTAAATAAACCTTTTTCGATCGGTTTAGATTTTAAGAGAACGGTCGAAAGTCCTGAGAAACACTCACCCTTAAGTTTCCATTCGCATGCGGATATCCGCCCAGAAGGATGGGAACATGATTGGTGAAATATCTTTATCGGCGAAAAACTCACCAATCAGGTTCATCTTTTCTTTTGAGGTTATTATAACTTGACCTTTTTTAAATCTGTTTTAATTGATTTTTTGTATCAGTCATTTCTCAACATTTTTCTGGGTTGTCTTGCCTCTCTTATTTTGATTTGCTTTTATCTATAAACTTTTAACGAACTTTCCATTTAAATTATATCCAAGTTGCTTCGATTTTAATGAAAAGTATTTTTAATTTCGCCTTTTTGTTTTTGATTATTTCAACGCTTTATTTTAACCTACACTTCTTATTTAATTTTACTTTGTCGTTAATTTTGACTTATACTGTCTTTTTTAAAACTATAATGTAAATTTTTTACACTTTAGCTATTTTAACTTTATTGGTTATTGCAATTACATAAATTTTCAGGCTTTTGTGTGCTCAAAATAGGCTTATAAACCTTCGTCAAGTAGAAGAGGACAGATAGCACAATAGGAGAGGCAGCACCAATTAGTACGGCCGTCAGTGGTCCCCATCCCCCCAAGCTCTCTTTTATTTATGTACTTAAAAAAAATTCTCTCGTCTAAATCCCCCCCCCCCAAATTATTTAGTGTATTTTTAGTGTAAAAATTCTCCCCCAAGCTTTAAGTGGGCGCATCGTGAGCCCACCTTCCCCCCCTGATGGGAGCCCTTGACCGCCGTCCGTGTAAACTGGATGTCTCAGTTTTTAACTTTATTAAGTATGGTTTTAGAATGCTCCTCTTTGCTCTTTTGCTTTATTCGTAAGTGTTACTTTGACATTTCATTCACATTATATGAAATTCTAATACTGCAAATCTATCTATTTGTGTAACTGCCAATTTCATCAATGATTTTAATTAGATTATTTGATTCGATTTTATGTTACATGCTATTTTCCTGGCTCACATATAAGGAAAGATAATATAATCATTTTGATAGCGAAAAATAAATACATTCCGCATTTTTTCTGGAGGGATTGGGCAGTGCCGTAGCGAGCTTAACTCGCGCCCGGGGCACAATACCTTTTTAGCGCCCCCCCNGATTTTATGTTACATGCTATTTTCCTGGCTCACATATAAGGAAAGATAATATAATCATTTTGATAGCGAAAAATAAATACATTCCGCATTTTTTCTGGAGGGATTGGGATAGGTGAATTAAATCGAAGTGCGATAGGAGAAGCGTTAATCAGATACAGTGAGAATGGTCTCTAAAATAGGAAAGGGATGGCTAGAGCCCCTGATGGCAGAGTTTTTGATGACGTCACAGAAAATACAGCTATTGATTTTGAGACGATGACCAAGGTTTGAGTTTTTACTTATGAAGTGAATGCACGAAAATTAAGATTGTAAACAAACAAACCCAAGTGTGCGGGTTAATTGTAACATAAATAAGCTATCTTCTTTTAATTATGATTAGTGTTCAGTAAAATATAAAAAAAACCCACAAACTTGGCTGTTTTGTTAGAATGCTACCTATACTGTAACTGAAAGCAGGTTTAATGGGTGTCGTTACGTTTATGTCTGGTTTATGTGCAGGTTTTTACCTGAGAAATACACAACCTGGTTTAGTTATAGCTAATAAAATTTTCGCAGCTGTCAAGGTTATTGAACATTTATTGCTGTATTAAAGTAAAACTTTAAAATACAGAAATTTTAATGCGTTAAACTTTAGATACTAAATCATTTAACGAATCTGAATGTGTATGTAAGGAATGAATCAGCGTATTTGGAAAACTGAGAGTAAAATTATTACTACAACACAGCATTTAAAGTAGTACTTCATTCAAGCATAATTCCATAATTAAATTTAAAATAATTTTTTTTTAATTTGCTTGAATTAACTTAATAAATCGACAACAGTCTAAAAGAAACAGGATTAAAAAATATAAAAAAATACAGAAGTAGCAAAAGCTCTTTTGTAGATTATATTGCTCGACAAATAGCATATATAATGCAAACATACTTTATATTTTATTAACAACATTGGATAAACCTTTTAATATATTTATTTCTAAATTGTTTATTTTTATTAAGTTCAAAATTAATGTGTAATTTTTATTATTTATTTAGAAAGGCAACAACTATGGAACGAAATTTAAAATGGCTTTGGTTGTTAGAGAAGACTTGAAAATGGGCTGTGGAAAAATAGCATCCCAGGTATTACTATAGTTTGTCTACGATAAGAACTCCCCCCACCACAAAGTTTGAGGCCGTCTGCAGCTATGAAAACTAAAATAAGGCATTTCAGAGAGGGTAGCTTTTCTTCATTCTAGGGCTAACACAATAGACCGAAGAAAAAGATTCCCATTCTCTCTCCCAGGGCTGATTGTGCTCCGGAAAAAATCCGGATTTCCGGATTTTTCGCTAACAGTGATCCGGAAGTTTCCGGAGATCGAAGGTCCAGACGTTTCAAAAAATCATTGAGCACAGAAATTTCCAGAAATCAAATTTTCAAAGGTGGAACTTAAAAACACAGTTTATTTTGTTTGTAAGGGACAGCCAGATACATTTTTTATCAGTAAATAGTTATAATCATAAACTCAAGAAAGAAAGACATATTTGTAAATTTTAATTACTTCTCCTAGAAAAACCTAGTTTAAATTTTTTTCAATTTAACTTTTCTTTTTTTTTTGAACTCGGGGAAATTTTCCGGAATTTTGACTTGTGCTCGCAATCACCCCTGCTCTCCGACCCAAGCCAAAACCTGTCGTAAACAGTGATCCCACACCCCTACTTTAAATAGTTATACCTTGTTACCATAGTCACAGCCACGGGTCCAGACAAATGGCTAGGGGAGTTCTTACTTTAGACAAACTATAAACACAATTTATCTTTTTTGAACTCTTAATATTATCTGCTTTCTTTTAACAAACTGCTCACTTTTTATTCATTGCTGGAACTTTTATGTTGGTGCAACACCTAATGACAAAAAAGCACTTTTTTAATTTTTCTCCGTCTACCACTGAGGATATTTCACGTCACCACTGTGGTCGGTGCAAGCCTGATGCGGAAGTCATATCGACTGGGATTCGAACCCGGTTCACCTCATTGGAAGGCGAACGCTCTATCCCTTGAGCCATTACCGCTCTTCTTTGTATTTATGAAGATAAAGTTATTTTAAAAATTTAACCCTCTGATTATGGATGGTACTATTGACAGTTCTGTATAGCAGGTACTATTGTGTGCCATAAAAACCCAGAGGGGGCTTGGAGAATTTTGCTTTTTATAAATTATATTTAAAAAAAACTAAGAATAAGCAGTATTGTCTTATATATTTCTTAAAATAAATATATTCAATTGTCTTTCTTCTACAAATTGCGATTGATTAACATGCAAACTCCAATAACTTGAATTGTTTAGCACCAGCAGAACTAAAAAGACAACTGACATCTATTTTTCTTTGTTCCAATGAAGTTTTTAGGTACTAATCAACTCTCGCCTACTAATTAATTTGTAACCGCAAGGTTTATGCTCACCCGTGAAATGAATTAATGTGAGCAAGTTTTATGTTAAGTCATAATGTCACTAAAATGCTTGACCACCACCAGCTGTGTTTGCTATTTCAAATTAGTTAAATAAAGTAATAATTAAAAGAGTTTAGAATTTTGAAGCAGTATGGTACAGCAACTTTTACACTGGTTATGGCTGATGTGGTTATGGCATGTCACATTATCAGAATGAACGAAGACTGTATCACAAAAAGAGTTTTCAATGCCAGACCAGTTGGTACACGAAAAAGAGGCAGGCCGAATTTGAGATGGATAGATGGCCTAGAAGAAATGTGTTTAAATTTGTTAAAAATATTGCATATTTTAAATATGCTTTACTTGTATGTGAATTTTTTTAGTTTAATATACAGAGATGATTGTGCTCCAAAAAAAATCTGGATTGTTAGCTAACCGAGCAGAAGTTTCAAGAAATCATGGATCACATTTATAAATAAATTTTTTTATATATTTTATTTAACCCATTGACGGTTAGGGAATTAAGTAGTTTTCGTTTACTTAATTTACGCAGTATTATGAGTAAACAGTAGTCAAAAGTAGCAGCTGTTTTCACCCGCTGTTCTTCCGAAAATGTCACCATTAAATTTTATATATTTTTATTTCTGTTAAATTTTTTTTAAAAAAAAGGAGGGTATAACAAATGAAAAATTGAAAAGGTGTGAATTATTTCGTCACTCTATTAAAGTCAGTTATTAAAACATCTTTCAATGCACATCAGACATAATCAGTTTAAAAGTTGCCACAGCATAGTGCTGTGTAACTCTTAACTCTTTCAATTATTACTTTATTTAACTAATTATAAATACTAAACAGAGTTAGGGGTGTATTTGGAGATATTATGACTTAGTTGAGTACCTAAAAATTTTATTTTAAAATAGAAAAATAAATTTTAGTGGACTTTTTAAGTTTTCCTGGTGATAAACTATTCAAATTATTTATGTTTGCATGATAATCAATCACTATTTGTAGAAAAAAATGCACACTTTTTACATGAGAATATATTTATTTTAAAAAATATGTATAATGTGATGTTTTTATAATTAGTTTTTTTAAATACAATTTATAAAAAGTAAGATTCTCAAGGGCCCCCTGAGTGCTTGGGAGTCTCCCGGTTTTGCCCATGAGTAAAGACGGTATTAAGTCTAATGCATACAATATCAAATATTTTTTATTGCTGTGTTCTTACTATTTTCTTTCTCTCTGTTTCAGTGTGGTCATGCCACTTTATCTGCCTATAAGCTTGCTCTGCTTCATGATCCAGATGTCGTACCTTTATGGGAAGCATGTCGACAAAAAAAGATCGCTTTGAAGGTGAAAAGTGAAAAAGAAATGTAAGTGACTGTAAACATTCTATGAATTCATTGATAACTTTCCCCATGGCAGAATTGCAGCAACATTGTCGCAAGAAGGTTATGGAAAGATTTTTTATTTGGCCAGTGAACAATTTTGATTTTCTTTCTGCAGAATTTCTCGAAATACATATTTTTTCCCCTGCACTGTTTTAATAATTTATTATTATTTTTGGCAGTTTCCTCTTGGTTTCTTAAAATCTCAATGGCTTTTATTGCTTAGTTATTACTATTGATATTCTTGTGAGTTTTTAGAAAATACTGATATTAATCTGGCATGCAAAGTTCGAATTGCACATTCAAAAGATAACCCTTTAATAAGTTCGATTTATGCAGATATCATTGTTAATCCATGCAGTGTTTTAATAGTTTTTTCAACAGCTATTGCTACAAATTTCCAGGTTTTTTTTAAAAAATTTCTTTACTTTTAATGATTTATTTAATTTGTTTGATTATTTACTTTTAATGTGACTATTTCATTATTTTTTTTCTCAGTTTATATTATTTTGCCACTTGAAATTTGATTGATTTGGGCATTTAAATAATAACTTTTTGACTTGCTGAATTTGTGGCATTGATATCTTAAATCCATGTTGTGTTTCGTGTGTATTTTTGGTAGTTATTCACATCGATTTTCATGTGGTTTTTAACATCTTGATATGTTTCAGACCATATGGGAAATGCTAATTGAGTATTTATTTTTATACATTATGATTCTAATATATTTTTATCTGTTATTGCTGTTGATTATTTATTACAACTACAGAATCTCAAAACAAACCAGGCATTTGAGTAACCTTTTTTTTTGAAAGAGTCCGATTTGCATGGTTTCATTGTCGATTTCTTTGTGGTTGTTACTGCTGCAGATTTTTAGTTATTACTTTTGGTGAATGTGAATCAGGATCATATGAACCACAAAATGTGAATAATTAGGAAATATTTAGTGCATTTCCCTCCTACAAAATGCTAGTATATTACGCATAATATTATAAAATAAAAAATATTACGTTTACAATAAAAAAATTATGCAGTTTTACTCTATACAATTCTTCTTTTTAGTAAGCACCATCATATCTGTCAAGTCTCCTGTTATTTAATGAACACTACCTCTTTACCCGTATATTCTCAAATTTGTCCGTTGAAGGAATTTTATTTAAGACAACTTTGGTGATAAAATATCCGCTGATGGCAAAAATACTTCTCTTATTCCTCAACAGATAGTGCTATTGCCAGTACTGCAGTATTTTGAGTGTTAATACTTTAACCCACTGGCAGTTAAGGAAATGGGCAAAATTGGGAGAATGTTTCTCCCCTACACACAGTTCCCCTATCAATTAACATGGGAAAACCGGTTTTGCTATGCAGAGAAGACTGCAGGTTAAAATGCGACTTTTTACGTGCAGAACCGTCAGTGGGTTAAAGTCGAGCCGTGATGGCTCAGGGGATAGAGCGTTCACCTTTCGATGAGGTGAACCGCGTTCGAATCCCGGCGATTGCTGGTCGATATGAATCCGCATGCGGCTTGCACCAGTTCTACAGTGAAATATCCTCAGTGGTAGATGGATCATGGGTTAGAGCCCCTTTGCCGCCAGGCTAACCGTGGGAGGTTCTTGTGGTCTTCCACTCCATGTAAGGCAAATGTGGGTTAGTTCCATCAAAAAGTCCTTCATGAAGGCAAATGCCTCAAAATACTTGATCCCTTGTCCTCTGGATTGTGTTCAAAATTACAAGGCTACAAAGTTGAACAGTTGTCATTAACCCAAAAATTGGGTCGACAGTTATAAAGCATTAGGGAATATAGGTAAAATTAAATGGAGTCAGTGCTTTTTTTGTTTCTTCAAAAAAAAAGAAGGATCTTATTTCTTTGCTGATATGAATGACCCGAAGAACATTTCTTTCCTGAAGGCAGTATTAGATTTTTTTTTAGTAGCTCATTATTTCAGTCGGAACCATTTTGAAATAACAAGCTATTAAAAAATAAATGTTTACGATAAGTTTATGGTAATGTGGTGATAAATGTTTCATGAGGCTGATGGAAATTTTAAAGATCTTAATTTTATTTTAATATTGATACTATTACAAGTAAAAACAATTGTTTTTTTTATATTGTTACATATAAATTTTTCCTAGCTGTGACAACAATGTATTTAAGAATGCTATTGTGTAAAATCATTATAATTATTTTCCTAGGTTAAAACTATCTGATGAAGCAAAAAAGTTAGGATTACTAACCAGTATTATTGTTGACGGGGGTTTAACTCAAGTTGATCCTTTTACAAAAACTGTACTTGCAATAGGGCCAGGTAAGTCTTAAATCAGAATAATTAAAAATTCTGTTATTAAGACATTTATGTTTTTATAAGATAAGATTTTTAAAAAAATTGCTTACTTATACCTATTAATAAATTAAAAATGATTCATATTCATATGTGTTCCATTCATGACATTACGAAATCTATTTTGTATTATGTTGTCACATGATAAGACTTATTTCATTTTTAGTTAGTCTGTTTTACAAATTTATTAAACAATATGACACGCTAATGATAATTGCTTTTTTTTTATTACTCTGTGTGAAACTTGTTCACATTTCACACTCTTTGTGAAATGGGTTCCATATTATTGCTATTCAGGTATATTTTAATTAATACTTTTGTGAGATAAATTTTATTTTTTACTGCATACATATTCATAGCTGCCAACTCTACTGGATTTTGCCAGTTTCTCCTGGTGTACTGGTTTAATAAAAATTCTCCCGCTTTTTGTACATTTTAGAAAATTCCCTAAAATTGTGTAAGTTTCCTTAAAAAATCGCTATTGAAGTAGAATTTTTGTTGCTGGCTTGAATATTTAAATAAATGTCACTAATACATATTAAAGTGAGCCTCATTTGTAAAATTCAGTTAACTATCTTTGATGATTTTAACACCTATTAATACATAACATTTCAATATCATTTAATTTGGAATCATAACTGGAAAATATTGCAGTTTTTATTTTGATGATTATAAGAATCCCTAAAATTCCCTTTGTGTAAAATATTTAGTATATTTTGCAACGATTATCATAAAATTAATATTATTTCGTAAAATCTACTGGATCTTTTCCTATTCGTGTTGGCAGCTATGCCTATTGATGAGAATAGTTTCGATTCTTTCTTTTTTCAATCAGTGTTATTTACTGATGTTCATTTAAATCTAAAAAAAGCTCTACATAAGATCTATTCTAAATATCTAATTACTTGAATAATAAAACAAAATTATTTGACTTTTAAGAACTACATGGTTAATATTTATACTATCAGTAAGGAGGTAATATATAATTTTTTATTTAACTTCCAAATATTATTAATTTTGCATGTTCTTCATTAACAATTTCACTATTATTGTTAAAACACATCATAAATTCTAAAGCATCAATAAAATCATTCTCGGAAAATCTTGAGATATTTTAGTCTATAAGGATTTATGATGCAATGCAGCATCCTGCAAAATAAATTTTAGCTAGCTTGTAATTGATTGTACCACAATCAATTTTTAAATCACTGACAGTTATTGAAAAAAAAGAAAAGATTTCTTAGTTTATGGTACGAGTTCTAATGCGAAGTTAGAATGATGTGACGCCGTGCCTGAGATTTTGATCCCTATAAATGCTTCCTCTTTGCTCTTTTTGTATAAATAACCGTTAAGGATTATTCTAACTGGTTAAATTTTTATTAGTTTCTTTTTTTAGGGAGTGGAGTATGGATAGATAATAATGAATTTTTTGTGACTAAATATTGTGATTATTTTTTTTAATGAATACCTTTTATTTAGAAATGCATCTTTAAATGTTCATTTTCTCATAAATTTTCAATTTAAAATATATGAGAAAAAAAACTCTCATATTGTTTATAAATTAATCCTTTTTTGTTACCTTTTTTTGGAAAAATTTATATACAGAGACATACCTGCGAAATCTCCTGTTTTTTAACAAAGACTCCTGTATTTTACAACTTATCTCCTGTTTACCTGTATATTTTCAAATTTCTCCGTATTTGTTGAAGAAATTTTAAAAAAAAATGGGATAAAATATCTGCTGATGGCAAAAATACTTATCTTATTTTTCAACAGATGGTGCTATTGCCAGTACTGCAGTATGTTGAGTGTTAATAGTTTAAGTAAATATAAATAACGGTTTAAAAAAATCTTCTTTAGGTTAAGATTTCTATACATATTTTATTTCGCTAAATGTAAGTCCCTATATTATTTTAAATTTTGAATTTCTCTTTATGACTTACATGATTATGCATGATGTATTAAAACTTTACTCGTAGCGTAAAAAATGTTGCTAGTAAAATCTCTGTTATTTTATTTCTCCAATTTTGGCAGGTACGCAGAGATAGTTTTTTTTTAGTTTGCTTTTAATTATTTTTCAAAAGCTTCAAATTTTTCTGTTATTTTGAATAATGAACGAGAATTACTTTTTGAAATATAACCATAAAATAGTATGAAAGGGTAATTTAACTTTAGTTTAGACGTTATTCAAACTTTTAGCTGCAAGCTTTCATGTATCGAAAAACCAGTTTCCCTGTTCTTCAAAGGCAGAGTAGTGCATAGCTGAGAAATCTCTGTTCAGTTCTACCCAAGGGCTCAGTGCTTAGAGGGTTAAAAATGATTGAGGATAAATTATATAACGTAACATTACACATTTGGATGAATTTTAATAGTGGTGATTGCCCTTTTCTACGAGGAAGCACCTATTCCTTTTTTCAATTCCTATTATTAGTTCACACTCTCCCTATATCTTGTTCAAATTTTCAATCATTAATAAAATACTTTTTATTCTTCCACTCAAGTTCAAATACACTTTTTTTTAAAACTTTTAGTGGATAACACTTGATGTTAATACAGTTTTTTTAAATATTAATTCTTTCATTAAATAGGGATGAACCAGGGTGCGTAGCGTTTGTAAAAAGTACTTAAAGGTGCTTTTTTGGGGATTTCGTTTTTAAAAGCTTTTAAAGGTGCTTTTTTCAGCTGGCGTTTTTAAAAAGTGCTTTTTTTCGAATATTTTTTTTTCTCCCTTCAGTGATATCTGGTGGATCCCATGCATTTCACGAAAAATGGGGAGTTTGGTACGTAATCATTCTTGCGGACTTCATGTCGTACCCACGTTATGACTTGCGCATGCGCGCACACTTGAAACCGAAACCCGAGTGCTCCAATTCGGATAGAGAATATCAGATCCTTATGAAATGTTTTTCTTTTTAATTTTGTTCTTGTTTATTTTATTTTACTTCTAACACTTTGTTTGACGTAGGGGGTATGGGTACCTTTGTTCTAAGTTCAGGGTCAAGTTGAATTCATTCGGTGATGTGGGAAAGTACTGATTGTTTCGATTTATGCCCGTTTCTTTCTGGGTTTTTTTTAACGCTAAAACTGTTTATAAAAAGTTTTTGTTTTTCAATAATATCATTGATTGAATATGAATTTTTTGAGTGCTTGAAAATTTTTGTAAAGTGCTTGAAAAGTTTTTAAAAAGTGCTTATTTTTGATTCAAAGATTTGGCTACGCACCCTGGATGAACGAAAAACGAAATGGAATTTTCTGATGGGTTAAGCGTTGGTCATTGTTTTCCATTTGACTTCAGTTTTTCACACATTTTAAAGATAACATTAGTGATCATTTTTAACTTATAGCTCTATTTGAACTAAAAAAATAGGGTGACACGTGTGGACCACGTCACCAAATGTATACTTTTATAGTTGTCTGATACCACGTGCCTTATTTTTTCAATTCTTACTATTAGTTACACACTCTCCATATATATATTTATATATCTTGTTCAAATTTTCGATTGTTAATAAAATACTTTTTATTCCATTTAAGTTCAAATGCATTTTTTTACACTTGTATTGGATGACACTTGATGTTAATAGTATTTTCAAATATTAATTCATTCATTAAATTTGACTAATTAATGTTTTATATGAGGGGAAAAAATTGTAATTATTTAATAAAAAGTAACTAAAGTAAAAATTTTCTTTGTTTACCCAAGTAGGAATTTAATTTTATTTCTTTATATTGTTTATTCTCATTAAGAGAACTCTGTATACATAAATGCTCATTCACTTCAAGCTATATAACAATCACAAATATCATTATTTAGAATAGTTTTTGAATGTCAAAAACTTTTTTTTAAAACTTATTTTACAAAGTTATATTTTCTTTCCTCTGGTGTGGAATTCTATTATGTCTGCAAACATTTCTTTGAGCTTATATTTCAAATAATATTGATACAAAGTCTTTTGAGTGTATCAATTTCAGTGGTCAATTGTAAATAATACAGTTTTGTAATGTATTATTTTATTGAATTATTCAAAATTGCAAATATGTTAGTTTTTGAAATATTTTCTTCTTTTTATTTTTATAAATGTCTTAAAAGTTAAAAATGAACATGTATATTGATTTTGAAGAAAACAATGTTTTTTTTTTTAGTACAGTCGAACCCCGCTATAGTAAACCTGGGATATAGTGAACACTCGGATGTAGTGAACTTTTTTAGCGGTCCCGTCCGTACTCCTATTTAAATAATGTTATTCTTAACGCTTACAGTGAACAGCTTAGAACTTGGAAACTCGGTTATAGTGGACTCAAATTTCATTTCTTTAAATATCTTTTTCAGTCCTCCATCTTTAGACTTGTAGGTGTTGGGACTGAAAAGGAATGCATTCCTATAAAATGCATCATATTTCACTCCTTTATGCTTATCACTTTTAACTATACTGTAATAAATGTCAAACAGAATCTTATACTCCCCCCTCCCTGACAAGCCTCGCTTTGTCTCTTTTCCCCAAGCTTGCTCTACAACTAGTTAACTTGGCCACCTGCTGAAATTTTGGAATTTTCTTATCTGTTCAAAACATATTATTTTCAAGTCACCCCTTGAGAAGGGGAACAATTTAACTCATTCTACAGCTGCTCTTTTCATATTCTTACATTATCTATTTGAGACAAGATTTTTATTTCAAAAGCAGTGAAAATGGTAAATTCTCTAAAGAGAAAAGCGTTTTCGAAAGAGAACAAAGTTAAAATTGTAAAGCGTATTGAAGATGGAATCAATCAATCGGCATTGTGTAAGGAATTTTCCTTGGCAAAATCTACAGTTTCAAACATTTGGAAAAATCGAAGTGCAATTCTTGCCGCATACGACAAAAATATGGTTTCATCAAAAAAAAGAGAAAACGTAGCAGAAGCTTTGTTAAAATGGTTCACCACTCAGCGGGATCAAAATCTTCCTGTGACCGGACATATGCTTCAAATTAAAGCGAATGAGTTTGCTGAAAAATTAGAGGAAAGGGATTTTGTGTGCTCCAGTGGATGGCTGGATAGATTCAAAAAACGGAAAAATATTTCTTCAGGTAAGATTATTGGAGAAGAAGCGAGTGTTGATGCAACGGATGTGGAAAACTGAAGTGTGGCCGAGTATCATACAGAATTATGAAGAGAAAGACATTTTTAATGCTGACGAAGCTGGACTATTTTACAAATTGATTCCCCATCAGACGTTAAATTCAAAGTAGAAAAATGCACTAATGGGAAACTCTCCAAAGTGAGAATTACAGTTCTTGTTTGTGCTAACATAAATGGCTCGGAAAAGCGAAAACTAACTGTGATAGGTAAATCTCAAAAACCAAGGTGCTTTAAAAATGTTAAAAAACCGTAAGTACTTTTTTCATCAATTTTTGCTTTATTATCTGTTAATTAGTTCATAATTTTTAAGTGACTTATGTAAAATTTGCAAACCCAATTTTCAATCATTCAACTATCTTATGCAAAAAATATTCTTCAAAAAATTTGGATATAGTGAACCATCGATTATAGTGGACACATTACTGAGTCCGTAGACGGTTCACTATAGCGGGGTTCGACTGTATAAATCTTTATGAAAGAAGTAATTTAGATCTTTTTTTTACATATCTATTATTTTTTATGTAATATTTGCAACAACAAAAAAAATGACCTTTGGGGGTCAAGGCTTTGAAAGTATCAGATTTATCAGACACCATACCTACCAAGTCTCCTGTTTATCCTTATCTTCTCAAATTCCTACGTATTCATTGAAGAAATTTATTAAAAAAATATTGGTGATAAAATATTGGCAAAAATACTTATCTTATTAAACAACAGTTGGTGCTATTGCCCAGGGCTAAAGAGAATAGAAGGGCTAGTTCACTCCGCTCTTAGAGCTGAAGCTACGATTTCCCTCCTCATGACGTCACTGTGTCCACAGATCTCGAAGATTGCAGGCAAAGATATTATGATAACTTTGCATCTTTCTCTTTGTAAAAATAAGTTAGACTTTTTCTGGTGATTAGCTTTCAAACTTTACGTAATTAACACATTATTTCCATTTTCCATTCATAAACATAGTTTAAAAAAACTTTCTTGGCCATTATATTAAAAAAATAGCATTTTAAACTTATAAAAATATTTTACTAGTCGGCGAAAATGACACTATAACTACTTTATTTTAAAAAGTTCAGTTTTAACTTTAATTATTTAGAAAAATGAAAGCATATATCGACACTTTTTTATCTACATATTCTTTTATAACAATAAGCTGAGTTAAATTTCGAATCCCCGATTTTAAAATATGCCGTTAATAGCAATTTGTTCATACTTAATCATTGCGAAACATCAACCTTAAACGCTAATTACTGAAACAAAATAATAATTTAGGTTCATAATGACATTAGAAATTTTACAATTGTTTATAGATATTTAAATTTAAGATGCTATAATTTATAGATATTTAAAATCAAGAGAATGTAATTTTTAAAAGAATCATAAATATTCAGAATAACTACATTAAAAAAATAAGTTATGAAATTAGAAGAATTTCAACTGTACACTTTATATTTTATTTATACTTTTTACTTATGTTTTAATTTTCTTTGACTTAATCCATTTTTTAAAATTTTTTTCACATGCCTTTCTTTTTGAAGTAACGAGGCGGTTTTTATTTAGATAACAAATTTTTATAAAAGTTCCTAACGATAGAAAAAACGTATTGCTGTTTTATATTAACTGTGTCATTTTGGAATCCATTCTTTACATAGTTGATCATTTACTTTAGGGAACACGCGGAAAATTATATTTTTTCCTTTTGTTTTTCTATCAGAATTTTTGCAAGTTGCAATTAAGCAAACTGGCATTTCGTTAATAGTTTTAAAATTTTGTAAATTCATGGCAAAAACTGGGGAAAGTCATTATAGAAAAGTGCGAGCTTTGCGCCAAAGTGACGTCACTAGAGAAAATCGGAGGATTGGCGTGGCGAGTTTCTTCAAAGGAGTGAACCAGCCCTTCTATTCTCTTTAGCCCTATAAGTGCTTTTATTATTGCCAGTACTGCAGTATGTTGAGTGTTTATAGTTTAAGTAATTATAAATAATTATAAATAATGATTTAATGAAAGCTTTTGATTTAGATTTATATACATATTTTTTACTTTGTTAAATATAAGTGCTTTTATTATTTTCACTTTTGAATTGCATTATTATGCGTGATGTATCAAAACTTTACTCAAAGCTCAAAAAACTTCAATAGTAAAAACTTCGTTATTACATTTCTCTAATGTGGGCTGGTTTGAGACATCCTGTGTTTTAAAACTAAATATCACTCCCTTGAATTTCTAACCTATTTGATTTTTCTAATTTGAAATATTATCAATTTACTTATTTATTTTTTTCTTTTATGCAGGCCCAGAGGAAGTTGTAAACAAAGTGACACAAAATTTGAAGCTTCTGTGATACATCTAGTCACCTGAGATTAGATAATATTGAATGCATTTACAGATTACATATTGAACTGGTTACTTCAATTAAATTTTTGTATCTGGGTAGACTTTTTTGAAACAATCTCAAAACTGCAGTTCTCATATACATTCTAATGCCCTGACTAGTGGCAGTTTTATACTAAAAACACCAATTGTAAACTGTAACACTAAAAGGCATGAATCATGTTGTAATAGAAAATTTACATGTAAATAGTGTTAAAAATTTAATAATGAAAAATTGTAGAAGACAAAGAAATATATATTTTTTATTGTTTAATATTTTATATTTCCATTTCAATTGTTTTGTTTATATATATTTTTTTAATTGAATAAGAAATCATACTTTTTTCATTGCAAAAATATAGCATTTATTTGCATATTTAAATTTGTTACGATTACTAATGTTCAACTCCGTGGCCTGATCGCGAAGAAGACCTAAGTCAAGCATCACTGGCTGCGGTCAGTAAGAGGGTAGGTGACCACTTTAANTTTTATATTTCCTTTTCAATTGTTTTGTTTATATATATTTTTTTAATTGAATAAGAAATCATACTTTTTTCATTGTAAAAATATAGCATTTATTTGCATATATAAATATAAAATAAAATTTTTTACGATTACTAATGTTCAACTCCGTGGCCTGATCGCGAAGAAGACCTAAGTCAAGCATCACTGGCTGCGGTCAGTAAGAGGGTAGGTGACCACTTTAATCAGCCTGAATAGGGACGGAGGGTGCACGGTATCAGTCCTTGTTAAACTGTTCTACCATTAAGTGCACAACTAAGCAAGTAGGTCATCGAGCTACTAAAGCAGGAGAGCCACCCCCTCTGCAAAAGATCAAAATTGCAAATCTTTGAATCATCTTTAGAGATCATTATACAACTCTAATGCGACTTGAATCGAGTACCTATCTATCTAATTGTTACAGTTTGAAAAACAGTGTCACAAAAATAATTTGTTTTTAAAAAATGTTCCTTTACATACCTACCTTGGGGGATTAATTTAAAACTATATTTGAAGTTGATTTTTTGAAACATTCAAAATGAACTAAAAAAAAAAGCACATTGAGAAACTCGAATTAAAATTTTAAAAAAAAACTCCAGCCAATTATTACTGAAACAGTTCGTTTACTGTTTTTATTGTCTTAATAACTTATTTTATTTATGACTTTCATAATACAGCATACTCTCAATATCTCAAAGTTAAGAGAACGCTAAAAAAATTTCAAGATAGCAAGTTTTCGGGATAACAAATTCAGAACTGAATATGTTCTAAAAGGTAGAAAAAAGTAAATAAAATAATAAATAAAAGTAAATTCTAAAAAGTAAATAAAATAGTTGACTATAAAAGTGAATACAACAATTTTATTTTTAAAAGTAAGACAAAAATAAGTATGCATTAAATAGAAAAGAATTGATCTATTGATTACTGTCGAGCATCACAATTCAAACACTTACATCGAGATTTTTCCAAAAAAATTAGACATTATGTTCGAATATTACAATATGTAACATCAATTATTACGTAACATTTTAACTTAACTTGATTACTAAATTAAACCACAATGGTATGCAACTTAATCATTTTGCAATTATTAAACAGTAAATAATATTTGCTTTCATACTAAGTTTCATATAAAATAGTTTTCAGTCAAAATTTGCAGTTAAAATAATGAATACAAAACTATTATTAAAAATTAACTTTACACAACAATACTTTAACTATCTGTTTAGCAAAAAATATTTAAATTTTATAAATAACCAAAAGTTGAATAGGAATTTAAAAAACAATATTATAGATTAAGTTGCAATGGTTACAGAGCAAAAATTTGACTTTTTAATGCAAAAAACTCAGAAAATAAATTTGTGTTAATGCACTAAAAAACTTGGGAATCTTTTAATTGAATAAATTTTTATGTTGACAATCTTTTTGTCGTTATGAAATAAAAATTATAACCTAGCAATCTAAAACATTCCCAAAAAATCGTTGCATTGCAACAAAACAAGTGACTAATATTTAATTTTCTTATTAGGAGCAAATCATGCAGTCTCAATAAGGACTCTAGAATAAAAAATGAAAAAGTCTCCGAAGAAAAAAAAAAATCTTGTCCCTCCCCCCAATTGCTTTTGAGCCAATAGCTTAAAGGAAATACTATAAAAAAATCTGAATTTCTTAGAAAATTGTATGTTTAATTTCATATTCTGAGCTAAATACATAAAAAATAAAACAGAAATTTTGTTGTGAAGTAGAGGAAAAACTATTAAAGACAAAATTTTTCTTATTTGAAAAAAAAAAGGCAAGATTTATGCTTTTAAGAAATCTAACAGAACCTAATAGTTATTTGTTTTATTTCAAGTAATTTTTAAAATACACATTTCGAGAAATTTAACCTCTCAAATATTAGAAATTAATTCTCGAAAGTTTTATATCACTTTTCAGATATGAATTAAAATATCTGCCAAAATAAAGGAAACACAATTGTTAAAAAAAAAAAAATACAACACAATTTATTAATTATAAATGCGAGATGCAAAATTTCTAAAATCTTTCTGCTGCAAAACAATGTATAATTAATTCATAATCAATGAAAAAAGCAATTAATTACTAAGATTTAAAAGAAATTTTGATGTCACTACATGTACAAAATTTGAAAAGTAATTAATCAAAGTCAAACTTAAAAATCAAAGTATCAAGTCGAAAAAACATTAAAAATGTCAAAACAATATTTATACAATGGACAAAATAATATCATTGACAATGGACAAAATAACTTGATAATCAAGTTATTTAACAACGAACAGATTTCATATTGTTTTACGTACCACAAAATGCATACATAATATGTTATAAAACAAGATGATCAGAAAACACACAAGTTAGAGTTAATAGCTATTTTTGGAGGAAGAACGCAAAGCAAAATAATGAGGTTTTAAGGTTTACAAGGATATGAAAAATTGTAAGGCTGTTGGTTTGCCAAAGCAGGAGAGTCATCCCCTCTGTAGAGGATCAAAATTGTGATGGCATGGTCTGGGAACATTCTCGGGGATGTTTCCCAGATCGTTGCCAATTGTGCGACGTAAATAAAGTACCTCCCTACCTACCATTAGAAATGTGCTCTTGCTTGTTACTATAGCAGCAAACAGCCACAGACTTTTAATCTGGAGGAGTTCTTCTTAAAGCTACACAGTAGATTGCAGGGAGGAATATAAAAACCATCGCATTAAGCAGACAAACACAAAACAAATCCTTGAAAGCATCACTCAGTAACACAGATTTTTAGTCGATATAGTTTCCGCTCTCAATAAAATCAGAGATAAAAATTAAATGAAACACATATACAAAACATTTGCAAGTTTACCACATAGGGATTATGGTGTCCAATGTTTTAGCATTAGCCTCTAGCCAAGGTAAAGCATTTTCTTTCAGTTTATGGCACACCTTTGCCAATGCAAGACAATCTCCTTCCGAACTGTGTCCATTCGCTGGTTTCTTGTTGAAGAAAAAGAGATGCAGATTTTCCAGAGAATGGGAGAGTCTACCATTCCTTCCGTACTTAACAGATTTGCAGACTTTCCTATCGGGAGGGCACTCCACGATTCCGATGGTGCGAAATGCGACCAGGGTGTCGGCAACGAGCAGATCAGACGGCAATTCCATCGAGAGTCGTTTAAATTCAGATTTGAGAAGGGGGAAATCAAAGGTATTACCATTGTGAGCCAAGAGGCCAACTGGCTTGGGGAGATGCGAGAGGAAGGAAATTATGGTTGTGGCAGCATTTCTATCAAATGGATACTGGTCGATCAGATTGAAATTGTCCAGCCCTGCAAAAAAAGTTCCAAAAGATTAATCCAAAAAATACTTTTATTCTATTTTCAAAGTTGCCTGAGAAAAAAAAAAACAGAACAATATAGTTGGTTTTAGTAGCCTCCCTAAACCATGCAAATAGTTGCCTTAATTAAATAAGAACAAAAATATGGCTAAAATTTTATTAAATGACTTTTTATATAACATGATCCATTTAGTCAAGTTGGTGGCAAATATGACAATTTTTATATAAACGTTAGTGTTCTAGCACTAAATTTATGCATAAAAAAAATTTTTACATTTGCTGAAAATTAAATACTTTAATTACTAGAAATCATTCAAAAAATTATTTTTTCATTAAAAAGAACATACTTTATCTAAAAAAATTTCAGTTTACCTAATTGATTTGGCAAATATATATAGAGAGAGAGATGAAAAGTGATTATTCAAATTTGAAATTCATGCATCATAATATCATATAAAAAATTGGGCTTCTTAAAATCATGCAGAATTTCGTAGCAATAACCGTTGAAAAGGCGATCGAGAAACAAAATAGATTTACAATGGAATCTGTGCAAATTGAGCGCATAAAATGTGATAACTCAAATTTGGAATTCAAAATTTTTATTTTTTAAGAAAGGAAATTCATTGTGTTCAGAATCTACTACGGGCCGCAGGTTGTCAACCCAATTTATGCTTAAAAAAAAACATCGCTAGGAGCACAGAAAAGTCTCCTTTTCCTAAAAATAAATGCTTTTTTAAACCTTTCCAGGCAAAAAAAAAGTTGCCATAGTCGCTGCAGGTCGAAAATAGTTGCTAACAGTGAATTTTAGTCACCTGTATTTTTCAGGGTATCGGGTATGGTAGCATATTTATCTAAATGCTAAAAAAAGAACTATCAAAAAGTGCTAAAATAAAACTAGACACTTTTTTTTTATAAGAAAAAAGAATCTAGTTGAGATGAAGATTGGTATTTTTGTGTTGATTTGAGTAATTTATGAGCATTGAGGCGTATGGCTTTATTGCTAAAGAATTCTTGATTCAGCTGAAACCCTACTATCTATATTTAAAAAGCAAAAGAAATAAATATATATATAAAAAATTATAGGGGACGAAAAATTTATATTACGACACATCTTAGGGGAGATAGTGACACAAAGTGAAACACCCTGAAAATATTCTCTGCAAAAAATCGATAACAAGATAGCAATTTATATACCATACATGTTTCATTATTAACATAATCTTTAGAACTAACATTTATAATTAAATAAATGACTAATGAAGAGTATCACACCTTTATAGCCTCACCAACACTTTATATTCATGCCTAATTCTAGAAAATACTTACTTCTTACAAAAATTATGGTATTGGATTTTAAATTCATGTGATTATGAATCGAGATATTGGATATAAAAAACCCGAAAATACGAATTGCAATATCAAATTTTTAAATCACGTATATACGAATCACAGTACGTAGTTTCTAAATCAAGTATCAATGCAAAAATTGATGTTTGATATTACAACCGCGTGAATACAAATCGCAATATAGGATTTTAAAAACGTGTAAATATGGATTGTAATATTAGATTTTAAAAACATTGGATTTATAAATCACATAAATAGGAATCATGAGATACAATTGAGAGAACACAAATTGCAATGCCTAAATTTTTAATTAGGTAAATATAAATTAATGTTTAATATTAAACTGGCGTGAATAATAATCGTGATAATTACAGATTCTGACGCAGTTCCAATTATTTAAAATGGCAAAAATCCATTAAACCAAATCAGCAGAAGAATCGCATGTATGTAAACATCTCATTAACAGGATATTTCAAAATCTGATTGTAAGTTTTTGATCAATGGTCTTGAGATATGATGTGACACTCACGATTTTTTAAGAAATATCACATGTTCTGCTTCTAATTTTCAGACCTAGAAGAATGATATGGAAAACCCGAAATTCATCCAGGGTACACCCGGAATACAATCACCCCTGACATCTATAAGATGAGTCTCCTCCCAAAATAATAGTGTGTTGCAGTTTTATGCAAGACAAATTAAATTTAATTAGAGAAATATCTGACATTAATAGCTGAAGGATAAAAATAAGTTAAGACTTGATATAAAAATAAATTTCGATTTTAACTTTATGTAGTAAGAAGAAAAAATTTTCTTATAGAAGGTTGAGTGAATTTAAACAATAAGTTTCCTAAAACCGGAAGAAATTTAGAAAACTTCTGGGGCATCTTGTCATGCTTACCAAGCAATATGTGAACAGGCTTAATATTCTAGGAAATCGTGTCAATGTGATTCATGTTTAAATTTACGGGTAATTTTACAATTCATAAGAGTTTCCTGTAATTTACAAATTCTAACTAGTTGAGAACCTAAAACAAATTTAAGAAAATTAATAACACAACATAAATAAAGGGTAAAGTTTGCCATGTTTTGAGTGCTATTCTTTATTTGGCTATACTTGAGTAAAATATCACAGTTAGTTACAGTTTGGGTTACATCTTGCAGGGCATAGTATGCTTGCAGTCTTCCAAATTCATATGTTGTTTGTCTCGTTAAAATTTTAATTGAAAGAAAGCGTTATATTGCACTACAGGGTATAATATTTGATGGAACCCTTTTTCAAGCTTAGGCTCCTCGTAACAGAATCGTTGCAACATTGTCGCATAACATCACCGAGTTCTTGCAGAAAGATTTTTTGTTTGAAAAGAAAAATAATTACTCTCCTTTTCAACAGAAATTTACACGTAATATTTGAATTGTGTATTTAGATAATCACTTTTTAGTGAGCTCAATTTTGGCGGATGGCATTGCAAATCAATATGTTTTGATTGTATTCTCTGCAGTTATTGACATTGATTTTCACATGGTTTTTAAATATCCCCATATATCTTAAACAATGTGGAAAATTCAAATTGTGCATTTGAGTATACACTTTTTAAGGCAATAACTCTAGCGAATTTTAGCAAGTTATAGCAATTGATTTCTCCATAGTTTTTAAATCCAATTTTTTTTTAATACCATATTATTTTTTTACAACCGAATCTCAAAACGAATCAAGCATTTGAGGAGCCAGATTCATGTTACTTCTTCGTCTATATATTTTTTTTGGTCAAATACTACAACAGATTTGTGATTATTTTTTTATTCTAATAATTTACAAAATGCAAAGAAGGAAATAATTTGTGCGTCCCCTCCCCCAACAAAATGCGAGAATATCTCCCATAATATTAGAATAAAAAATTATTACACGTTCAATTATTAAAAAATTATTTAGTTCCTTTCTTGTAAACACAGCTTTATTGTTATTTCGAATTACTAACATAAAGGTTTATTACTATTAAAAGTATTTTTCAAAAAAAAATTAGTGATGGAGATTTTTGTCACAGATAGCTCGAAAAAATACAGCCACAGGGCTTAGGCGTAAAAATCAGTTGGAACTAGTAACTCCGAAGTTTTACAACGAATTTTAATCCCTAGTGCCATCTGCGCCTAGCTGTACACGATCAACCATTCATAAACAATAAGAAAAGATTGGTAATGCAGGAGTTAGCATGCAATAATTTTTTTACATATGTGCTAAAGCTAATATTTCAATTTTATCATTAATATAGCATTGCTGCATTCTTACCAGTAATTTTAGCAGCGCCCGGAGAAACAGCGCTTCTAGGTCTCACGCACATGGACAGCTTATGCATTATTCTAATTTCCTTCAACTCACTGTTCTTGCTGACCCAAAACTCTTTTCGATCCACTGCAACCATAGAGATCTCAGTTATCTGGACATTCGATTTTCCAATCATGTGACCCAAGCCTGTAGTTTCAAGATCGAAAAATACTAAAGTTCCAAAAGGTTTAACATCGTTGCTTACAACTGGCGACTGATTGCAAAGATTTGTAGCTGGAAAATTGGGTTTTGCATCAGTGTTGACAATTTTTGAAGCTTGGCGACTTGAAACAGGAGTGAGGGGAGATTCGTCAAACTGCGTCAGAAACTTGCTTCTAGCTCCTTTTGGTGTAGAATTGCAGGTTGTTGAAACAACAGGGCTATTCTCTGGCGTCAATATATTAGGACTGATAGGAGTAAGAATCTGATTCGAATATACCAGGTTAGCAGGTTGTTCAACGCAATAAGTTGTCTCGGTTCGTCCAATAGGTTCAGACGTTGCAATCGTAGCTGAATCAGAAGATAAATTACTTATAGAGATATTATTGCTTTCTGCTTTATATTGAGGTATGCCTGCCAACAGTGAGCTAATTTCTGCAGGCAATAGAACAACAGTATTTTGATCTAGTACGAAATGAGTTCCTGAATTAGCCATAATGTTATAAAAATTATATAAGGATACAAAGATTGTTTACTCCAAACAGCAATGTCTCAATGAAATAAAAGATGTTTCCCAAATCAAATAGATTGAGTTCTTCGATTAACCTGTGGTAAAAACTGATTCCTTAGAGCATATCTTGGTTAAATTTAACAACAGAATCGGCAACGTAATTGAAAAATAATTTCAATGTTATTAGTTATGATTACGCCGTATTCGTTGGATCACGCGGTAAATCATAAACAAAAAACCGCGAAAATGTCTTCACTTCTTTTCTTGCAACGAAAATTATAACCTAACTGCATTCGTTAAAGAATAATGTTTCGCTTGGACCTAACTTACTTAACATAGCACACGAATACATCTTCTACTGCCGTTTGGATATTTTTCCGAACAAATCAAACTTACTAAATGTACTTGCTTAAATGACGTTTGATTAAGTTAAGGCTTCTCTTGCAACCAATTTCTTTTTTGAAACCTTGATTAAATAGCGGGAGCCATCCGAAATCCGTCACTTTTTCACATTTAAATAAAATAATTTCAGATATTTGGCAAAACGATTCACACCTTTCCCAAGTAGCACATAACATTAGATAATATCAGAAAAGCGGCAAAATCTAACGTTATATTACACAACTTGTAATATTAGAAAGATATAAAAGGTCGCTGTTTGCTCAGCCTTTTATAATATTAGATTCAATGCAAACTAATATTATCTAGCGTTCGCCATAATATTCTTTTGCGTTAGTTTTGATGCTATATAATATTAGATTTTGTATTTTCTGATATTATTCTGCTTTTTATTTTTTTGGAGTAAGCAAGAGGAAAATATGGATGGTAGTAGAATAATTCGACGATACAATTTTACTTAATTTTCTGTATTGTTGTGAAGCAGTAAAACATAGAACAGTAGTTTTATGTCATTCCATGCATTATTTACTTAGCAATACAGAAATACTAAATAAAATTATATTAGAGAATTCTGCTACCTTACATTTTTCTCCTCCTTACTCCAAAGTATATCTTNATTAAATAAAAAGGAAAAATATTAAGAAAAGGGAAAATATCGTAGTACATTCCTATACAACTGAAAAGAGGAGGAGAGGGAAGGGAGAAGGGCTAATAGCATGAAACCGGTCTCTCCCCAGATGGCGTATTAGAGTGTTGCGATCGCGAATTTTTATGAACAAATCAAATTTACTAAATTTCTTTACTAATCTTAATTACTAATCTTTTCTGAAATTACTAATCTTTTTTGAAACCTTAATTAAATAGAGGGAGCCATCCGAAATCCGTCACTTTTTCATATTTTAATAAAATAATTTCAGATATTTGGCAAAACGATTCACACCTTTTACAAGTAAAAGGTATAAATCGCTTAAATATAGGAAAATATCAATGTGGTTTCTAAAAAAGATCAACTACAGATCAGATCCACAACATAAGAGAAAACTTACAGAGTATGGCATAAATATATAGCACCCTTTTGTTGATTTTAAGTTAGACAATGATATAAGCAGGGATAGACTATTTGAAGCGATGCAGGAAAAAGCAGAGAAACAAACTAAAAATTTTTGGCGGCATTTAAAAATATGAAATATTGTTTCCTATGCCAGATGCTCTATGGAGGAGGCAATTTTCGGTGTTCCAGATTAAATATTTCAAGTTAAATTTCAGTTACAGAATAGAAGAATTTCGTTACAGCACCTCGAGGTCAAGGAGACCATTCGCCAGTTTCCTAGACACATCGAGCAACAGAAAACAGGCCCTGTATTACGAACAAGATGAGCATCGAAAATCGAGAAGAGGTGGATCGGAGTGAACAGAAATTCTAAGCCGAAACCCACAGGACGGTTCTCGCTGGTAGATTACCTTTGAAGACTGGGCCAACAGCAAGAAGACAGCCGCCGAACATCGTCATTTCAGCAGATTTCCACCTGGAAGGTCTCACGAACCTTCAAATTTTATTTAAAATTACAAACAAACATTAAAAATTACAAGAGAAATAGATATAGGAGTAGCTTACAAAATCATGAAGCTGATGGATAACTTCGGCAACTCTATGAAGACAGTTCTTTGTTGGATGCGTTTCATAGTTGGCATTTTCTGACACACGTTAATCTTCTTGCCAAATTTGGCGTTTGCTTCGAGATAGCTCACGCCAAGAACTTTTTTGCTTTCACTTGCTCTTTCTGGTGGCCTGATCGGCCTCAGCTAACACATATATTCTTGACTGAAATCTTTAGCCTGATAACCAATTCGGTTACACATCTAGCAACTAAGTGTTCGAAGGTACTCCACGTAGGTACTCGAAGGGACTTTACGTTGAGACGCTTCCATCCAAGGTTCAGTTTGAATTGTATCATGTTTTTGTATAATTTAGGCTCTATGGTCAAGACCTAGTAAGTACCACCATGAGAGAACGAATGGAAAAAATCATTTCGAGGCTGACTTTTTCGAACTCTTCACTGCTTTGAAGAGCTCAACTAAATTGGGTTGAGTGATTGCTTCATTTGCATAAAAAATCTATCATTCTAGGCCATCTTTTTGACAGAGCTTCAAACTCATATTCCCTGCTTTAGCTCTTTTGCTGGAATTCGTTTTTAAAATTTTCGAAATCTCGTTTGATCGTTACTTGAAGGAGTGCTCCTGGCCTTTAATTTTCTTCAGGTTCTTCAAGCAAAGCTTAAGTTGTGCAGAATTAATACTCAGAAAGCATTTGTAACCTTACATCAACCTTGTGTCGGAATTTTCTTTTCATTGTCACGAAAATGTTTGTTCTAAAAACCTTTTTTTCAATAAAGCAAAAATATTGCAGTTTCAAACCTTTTCTCCTAAAAGGATTAAAAATTATTTTTAAAGTTTTTTTTTAAAAAAATTATTGTCACTTAGGTCCATAATGACGTTTTAACTGACGTCACACTAACGATAGGATCAAATTGCATTGTCCCTTAAAATTTCGTGACAAGGTGGATATTATCTGATCATACAAGACTTTGCAAAAAAATAACCCCATATAATTTCCTATATTTAAGATTATTTTTACCTTGAGATTAGCTTTATGAAATGATTTTTTGAAGCTAGAAAACTCAAAGTCAACCTCGATTTAAGGTTTTTATATAGAAGGTTGTTTTCTAAGGTTTTGAATTATAATAAAGCAGAAGGTCATATAGAATAGAGCAGATGGTCACAGATCTCGTTTTAAGGTTAGAAGGTTTACACGTAAACCACATAACAAACCTTTTTAGGTTTACATAAAAAGGTTTTTTCAGAGTTGAAATAAACCTTATTTTGCTCTCTGGGATATTATCCTTAATTGGTTACATGAACTCCAAGAAGAAGAAAAAGAAGATTACGTAAATTAAATAAAAGTTATGTTGAGAGCATATATATGTAGTATATTTTTCATGAAGGATTCGAGCTTGAATCATAAAAGGAAATTAAAACACCGCATCGATTTTCTAGTCATGCATCATCTGGTAGATAATCTGGATGCTAAAATTATGTTAGCAGCAGACAAAAATGAGGAATAAATTATAAAAAGGAAAACTTATTTCACCAAAATGATTTCTTTAAAAAGAATTATAAGTTTTCGTCTTTTTTTTAAATCTGGCCTCAATAAGTTTTAAGAGATCTTTCTTCTCATATTAAAAAATGTGTCTAATTTCAAGGCTATTGAGAGTCGCTTTGATTAGCCGATTATATGGAAATTTTGGACAGCCTATTTTTTTAATTTAATTTATTTAGTTTGTTTGTTGATGCGTTGGTTGGTAGGAACAAGATTAGTTAAATGCCACCCTCATTTTTTTTTCAAAACTCAAAGCACAAAATTTATCCAACTTTCGGAAATGTTTCATCTCCCCCATCTTGTTTTAATAAAAAAAAATTACATGTGCAGCTGTAATACTTGTTCTATAAAATAGACTAAATAGACTCCATGCATGTCTAATTAATTAGATTCACTGGAATATAAAATGTAAAAGCAAGTAACATTAAAAAAAAAAAAATAAAGTCAATTCCTACTTAGGTCAACAAAGAAATTTTTTATTTTAGTTGTTTTTTATTAAATAATTACAATTCATTTCTCCCATATAAAGCTAAAATTAATGAATTAAATTTAATTAATGAATTAATACCTGAAAAAACTGTTTTAACTTTAAGTATCATCCTCTACAAATTAAAAAAAATTTATTTGAATTTGAATGAATGAATAAAAAGTAATTTAGTAACAATTGAAAATTTGAACAAGATATAGGGAGAGTGTGAACTAATCTATATTATATAAAATGCTAATACGTACGTATGNTATTTCATATTGTTTTACAACACATGGTTTTAGCCCTCTGGTGGGAAAGACTTTAAAACAAAACTTACAACAGTTACTTTTCTCAACAACTGAAATTTAGAATAGTGTGATTAAGAAAAATATGTGAACTGTTTGCAATTAATATTGAAATGCACAGGTTTAGACTTTTCTACAGTGAAAAGTTTTCGGAACTTCAGTGTTCAAAAAAGTATACAAAAGCTAGACGTTAAGAACGCATACAATGAGCGAGCAAAGCGAGCATCGGATTGCGAAGCATTCCGAAATGAACTGCGAAAGCAGTTCCGGGGGTTGGCGAGCGCTAGCGAGCAGGGGGCGAAGCCTCCTAGCTATAGGAATTTTTTAAAAAAAGGCACGTGGTATCAGATAACTACAAAAGTACAAATTTGGTGAAGTGGACCTTACGTGCTACCACGTAATGTTCTTTAATGAATTTATCTGATACAGCGAATATATAATAATTATATATTTAAATGCGCGCAATAAACTATTTTTCTTGTTCCAATAGAGCTATAAGTTAGAAATGATCACTGATGCTTATTTTAAAATATGTGAAAAACAAAATCTCTTGTAGTAAAACTTAAAAGAATGACCAACGCTTAACTAATCAGAAAATTGTATTTCGTTTTTCGCTCATCCCTATTTAATGAATGAATTAATATTTGAAACAAACTGTATTAACATCAAGTGTCATCCACTACAAATTTTAAAAAAAATGTTATTTGAAGTTGAGTGGATGAATAAAAAAGTATTTTATGAAGGATTGAAAATTTGAACAAGATAGAGGAAAAGTGTTAACTAATAGTAGGAATTGAATATGAAGAGGTTACTAAACATTTGCACAAAACTATTTTTCGTCGTCTTTCCTGTCTTAAAATAGAAATTTTAGTCCATTGTTTGAAAATAATTTTTTTTTAAGTCAATGAAAATGCAGTTTCTTTTGTGTCAACTTTCGTGTCAT